CATTGTGCGGAAAGTCATGGAGGAGTACATGGGCAAGAAAGGACCGACTTGTTGCTGGAATTGCGGCCAGGCAGGACACGTAAGAAGTCACTGTAAAGAAAAGGACGTGGACCCGGTTTCGCCAAGTGTCGAATCAAAGGGACACATATCGAGCAGTACCCAACAGGTTCCAACGAAAACTGCTCAAGTCGCATCGCTACAACACAAGTTCAACAGCATTTTTGTGGATGGTTTCGTGGATGGAGAGTTACGAACCATGCTTTTGGATACGGGTGCGACCAAAACGATCATCAGGCGGATATCCTTAAAACATCAAAAAGGATTAAAACAACACAATGGCGACTACGTACAGCTACAGGAAGCTCCGCTCTCATCCATGGAGAGGTAGATCTTAATTTTGTTATCGGAAGCACCTGTTTTAATCATCGAGTGTTAGTAGCAGACATCGAAGATGAACTTATTCTCGGAATGGACATCATGACCACTAGAGGTTTTGAGCTAAACCTCAAACAAGGAATTTTGAAAATAAATGAAGAAGAAGTGGTTCTGCATCGAAAATGTGAGGAGACGCTTCGCGTGGTGGTAGCAGAAGATGTTTCGATCCCTGAGCGCTGTGAGATATTTTTGGATGGTTGCCTAGAAGGTAAAATGAATAATGGGAGTATTATTCTGTTGGAGCCAAGGAACCATGACAGCGAAATAGGACGAGGGATCGCTGTTGGAAAAGCCCTGCTACGAGCGAAGAAAACTGTACCGGTGAGAGTAATGAACACGAATTATTATTCTGTATCCTTGAAGAAGGGAACCCTCTTAGGGTACTGTTGTTCGGTCTCCTCAGTCGTTCGAAGCGTGGAAGCCTCCAAAGTTTCGACTTCAAAAATTCCGGACAAAATGGTGAAGGAGTTAGTAAACGTTAAAGGATTATCTCCCGAAAATAGAAGAAAATTGAGAAACCTGATAATCAAGTATCAAGATGTGTTTGATAAAGGAGAAGCAGGACAGAGAGGTCGTACCAATTTAGTACAACACAAAATTGATACCGGAGATGCACGACCAATCAAACAAAATCCGAGAAGACTTCCGCTCGCCAAACGTGAAGAAGCTGATAAAATCCTTCGAGAAATGAAAGAAGAGGGTGTCATCGAACCATCTAACAGCCCGTGGACATCGCCGGTAGTACTAGTAAAGAAGAAAGACGGTACCACCAGGTTCTGTGTTGATTATCGGCAGCTCAATAATGTTACCAAGAAGGATAGTTATCCCCTGCCGAGGATAGACGATACTCTAGACACGCTGGCGGGGTCAACGATATTCTCTACGTTAGATCTGAAGAGTGGATATTGGCAAGTCGACATGGCGCCGAAAGACAGAGAGAAGACAGCGTTCTCGGTGGGCTCCGGACTGTGGCAATTTACCGTCATGCCTTTTGGATTGTGCAACGCGCCAGCTACCTTTGAGAGACTAATGGAGTCTGTGTTAAAGGGACTATCCTGGACTACCTGTTTAGTGTACCTGGATGACATCATAGTGGTTGGGAAATCCTTTGATGATCATCTGAAGAATTTGGAAGAAGTTTTCAAGCGACTAGGGAGCTCTGGTTTGAAACTTAGCCCCAAGAAATGTCAACTGTGTCATTAAAAGGTACACTACTTGGGCCATGTAGTCTCCTCCCAAGGAGTTGCGGTAGATCCACAGAAGACCAAGACAGTGGAAGAGTGGCCGATACCTAAAGATAAACATGAACTACGAAGCTTTTTGGGACTATGCACAAACTATCGCCGCTATGTACAGGGTTTTGCCACCATCGCAAAACCATTGACCAGACTTACCGAAGGCGAGAGGCGTTTCTCTTGGGACTCAGATTCTGACGAGGCATTCCGAAAATTGAAGAAGGCCCTGACTAGTGCGCCCATACTTAGCTACCCTCTTGGCAACGGAAACTTTATATTGGATACCGACGCTAGCAATGTTGGTTAGGCGCTGTTCTGTCTCAGATCCAGGATGGTCAAGAAAAAGTCATTGGTTATTTTAGTAAGACCTTGTCAAAACCGGAAAGGAACTACTGTGTAACCAGACGAGAATTACTAGCAGTAGTTAAAGCAGTGGAACACTTCTACAAGTATCTCTATGGAAGAAAGTTCTTGTTAAGAACAGACCATGCTGCTTTGAAATGGCTGTTGCAATTTAAGAATCCTGAAGGGCAGGTAGCTAGATGGATTGAACGATTACAAGAATTTGACTTCGACACAGAACATCGAGCTGGGGCAATCCATCGGAATGCCGACGCACTTTCCAGAAGACCTTGCGCTAAGGACTGTAAGCATTGTTCCCGAGCTGAAGAGAAAGAAGTGAAACTCCTAAGAACAACTGTGGTTAATGATAGTTGGCAACCCGAAGATCTTGCAAATGACCAAACCAGTGACCCAGAATTAGGTTTAGTAATTAACTGGAAAAACACAGGCCAAAGACCAACGTGGGAAGAAGTTTGCAGATATTCGCCGAACGTAAAGTCGTACTGGGCCCAGTGGAATTCCTTGGTAATAGATAACGGACTACTTCGCCGTGTGATCGAGAGACCGGAGGGACAAGAAGAGAGAAGACAGATCGTCATTCCAAAGAAGAGGGTCCCAGAAGTCTTGGAGGAAGTTCACAATGGAACCAGCGGAGGACATCTTGGTGTTACCAAGACACTTGGCAAGCTGCGTGAACGGTTCTACTGAGTGAACTGCAAAGAAGATGTGAGGGCCTGGTGTAAGAAATGTGACATTTGCGCAGCCATTAATGGGCCACAAAAGCGTGGTAAAGCCCCTATGCGCCAGTACAAATGGGTCGAGGCCTACGCGTTGCCAAATCAAGAAGCGTCCACGATTGCTGATGCCTTTGTTAAAGAATGGATCTGCAGGTTTGGTGTTCCCATGGAGCTTCATTCAGATCAGGGAAGAAACTTTGAGTCCAATCTGTTCCAAGGCGTCTGTGAAGTCCTGAACGTCCGCAAGACCAGGACAACTGCTCTACATCCACAATCCGATGGGATGGTTGAACGCATGAACAGAACTATCAACCGTTATCTGGCCAAAGTAGTCTCTGACCACCAAAGAGACTGGGACAAATTTCTTCACCTGTTCCTGTTGGCCTACCGTTCATCCGTCCAAGAATCTACAGGGCAAACTCCAGCCAGCATCGTTATGGGACGGGAAGTGCGCCTACCCTGTGATCTGAAATTTGGTTGCCGACCGGGAGAAGAAGTCGCCGGAGAAGATTATGTCCACACACTACGTCAAAGGATGGACGACATTCATCAGAGAGTCCGCCTAAATATTCAAAGTGCTAGTGACCGAATGAAGGAACACTACGACATTCAAGCTGAGCATGGAGGATACCAACCAGGGAAGTTGGTGTGGCTATATAACCCGCAGAGACGTCGTGGGTTATCTCCGAAGCTACAATCCTCGTGGGAATGGCCATACGAAGTCATGGATAGGATTAATGACGTCGTATACCGTATCAGAAAATTGCCAAAAGGAAAACCGAGGGTAGTCCATTTCAACCGTTTGAGCCCCTACCAATGCGAAATAGAAGATCGTGCTGGGACCGTGAGAACCTGCAGCTTTGATCCCCCTGATTCGGAGATGTCTTTTGACGATTTCATGGCCCGATACAACAGCAGTGAGAAGGCTCGCTATGGCGTAACCAAAGAAGATCAACGAGACCTCTTTTCCGTGCCTCCTGATTATTCGCTCGCTCATTGTGTGGCTCGAGATTTGCGGATGTCCAGAGGAATCGCTGCGACGTTCAATGAGAAGTTTGGGCGTGTCGGAGAACTACGCCGACAGGATCCAGAGGTTGGAAGCGTCTTGAGGCTAACCGACAATGCACATGGTCAAGCAAGGCACATCTTCTACCTGGTCACCAAGGAATGGTCCCCGAGTAAGCCGACTTATCTCAATCTATGGAAGACCCTGATTGAACTGAGAGAAGCCCTGCTAAACAACAACATTGCACGATTAGCCATTCCGAAGCTGGCGTGTGGACTCGATGGTTTGAGTTGGCGTACAATCCGGAACATGATTGAAGTCTTGTTCAGATTTACGGGAATCGAGATCCTTGTTTGCTGCTACAACCCAAAGCTGAGATCGGGAGAAAACTGTAGACTGCTATTTCTACTAGACTTCGCAATGTACCAGGGGCCAGCTTTGCAAATACCTTCATTCACCGTATACATCTCGGGACGAGCATGTGCCTAAGAAGGGGGCAGTGTTGCGGGCCGGTGTGGACTCGACCTAACCTCACAATATGGCCCGCCCTCGGATGACCTTAACATCGCATAGACACCGCAATGATTCATTCGTTCGAGAAGAATCGAGTTCCACTGGAATGGACTAGTACATACGAGAACATTCGAAAACCTTCTCTACGCACCTAACGATCTATGGACGATTCTAGAGTTCTTTACCTGTCGGTATAAAAGCCGGCGGCGGTGGCCTACAGGGGGCAGTTATAAATATACAGTTGACGCGCTAAAATTCAAAATAAATTCTTAGTTATAAATCGTTTGTAAATAGTTCTATAAGTCTTTTATCGTTATTGTTTTTGTTAATTAGTGTTAAATAAATAGTGTTTAAATAAATTGTGACTTTCTATCCACACGGAACCGACGAAAAACGTAACAATATTATTTTGCATTATTGCGAAATTTAAAACCTGGACGCTTATAAAAAATCCGCCCGGACCCAACCGGATGTAGTGAAAATCCGGACGTCTGGTAACCCCATCTCTCTCTGTCAACCGGTCATTTATATTATCCTCTGTCACACGCATTAAAATCCAGACCACATAGTTTGGATAATCACCAGGGTATAACAAGAAATGTTTATCTTGAAATAATGAATCTGACTCGTAGAACAGTATTACTTCAAGCCTTAAATTGTATTCCTGTACGTCAAATAAAAGAAAATTCCTCTTAAATTTCTATCATTAAAATAAATCGAAATATCGTTTAGGTTAGAAGACTCAAAGGAGAAAAAGCTTCCAAAGCTATTGTCGATTCAGAGGTGAAGGTACTGCTCGCTTTGAAGACTGAATACAAAAAAGTGACAGGCAAAGATTGGGTGGCAGGTCAATCATCTGCTTCGCCTGCAGGGATCTCTAGTGGCGATAAGGCTCCTGCTACGTCAGATGTCAACGTCATTTTACAGCAGATCGGGACTCAAGGTGATAAAGTACGCGAACTAAAATCGAAAAAAGCTGACAAGGCTACTGTGGATGCAGAAGTTAAGGTACTACTATCCTCAAATATAAAGAATAACAATACCAAAATTTACAGAATTTCTGTAAACTTTGGCACTTTGGAATTCCTGTAAAATTTATTAATTTAATTAGTTACTCATTTTACTACAGCTATAATAGATTATATTTAGCTTAGATATTATCTTCGTTTCAGTAGTATACATGAAAGTTTTTAAAATAGTTTAATTTTTTCTATCACATTTTCCTACACACGTAAAAAACCGGCAACACTATATGCCGGTACAAACCGGCATATAGTGTTGCCGGCAAAATACATTTAGAAAGAGAGGCAAAATACATTTTGCCTCTCTGTCTGTCAACTGAGCATTTATATTTATCTCTGTCGCATGCAGTAAGATACAAACCACGCAGATGAACTGTCCAGGATGATATATAATTTTTGGATGGCATCCGCTGTAATCAATTATTCTCAGGCAGTATACCGGGTGCGTCTCAAAAGTGGCTCACTCCTATAACTTTTATTTTTTCAGATAAAAAGAATACATATTTGGTATGTTAGTATATGACATAAATTAGGATTGGCTGACGTATTCAATTGTTTTTAGTCACTTCCTGTTTCACCGGAATTGACTAAAACTTTTCGGTATATTTCTACTTTATTCGATAGAAAATGAAACTCATATTTGAAATGAATGACATATTATATGTCAACTTTTGACATTTTCTCATACGGTTTGTTTGAAATTGTAACATGCGGTTCATAACGAAGTGTGTGGTACCAAATTATTCGTAAAAATCCTTTTTCCATATAAAAAAAATTGAGATATAACCGGCCAGGACAAGACACGAAAACATTAATTCCAAGGCTCCTTGATTAAAAATTTGTGTTTTTAACACAGCCATGGCACTCTAGATTGAAATTTAAAATACGATTTTTTAAGCGAAAATATTATGTTCTATTCATAGTGTCATTTTCTATTGAATAAAGTAGAAATATACCGAGGGTGTCATTTAAAAATCAAAAGTTGTAGTCATTTCCGGTGAAACAGGAAGTAAAAAAAAACAATTGAATACATCAATCAATCCTAATGTATGTCATATGCATATATTAGGATTATATATTGTTACGGATTCCGTGGGTCCACTATTTAAACTCACGATAAAATACTTAACGAATTTATTTGTTTCACTCTGTACACACAACTTATACTATTTACAACACAACTTATGCAACTACTATTACTCTAACGGTATTTCGCGGTATTTTCAAACTTCAGACTTCAGACTATCTTCAGACTTGTCCAACTGTCAAAGCGCGGGCCTTATATACCCCCTGGCGATGGTTTCCGGAATTTTCTAAAGAATTCTATAATTTTCTTTTACTTTCTGGCGAATGCGCCAGGTTCCTCAATGCACGTTGCGATTATTTAGCAGTATGCAGTTATGCAACCTGTAATACACCTTGACATTGCCCCCTTCTCAAATTTGATCGTCCCGATCAAGGTTTCCTGTCTGGTATCTCTTCAATCGATCCAGATGAACTACTTTCATCTTACTTCTAGGGCTGCGTTGAATCCGGTACACAACATCATTTATCCTCTTGATGACTGTATAAGGACCTTCCCATGCTGGAGTTAACTTTGGGGACCTCCCTTTCTTGCGCTGTGGGTTATATAACCATACCATATCGTCCTGTTGAAATCCCGTAGAATTAGCTCTGAGGTCGTAACGAGCTTTCATCCGGTCACTGGCTAGCGTAATCTTACTTCTCACGGCCTTATGAATTCCCAATAACCTTTCCTTCAGTTCATCCGCGTAGTCCTCTACGTTCGTGGTGCTGTCGTCTGGTGATCCGAACACCAAGTCACAAGGCAACCGTAATTCTCGACCAAATAAAATCTTCGATGGTGAAAGTCCGGTGGTGTTGTGAACTGCACTTCTATATGCCATTAGGAATAGTGGTATATGCTGATCCCAATCTCTTTGATGTTCATCCACCATTTTCGAGAGATGTTCTTCAATGGTCTTATTGAATCTCTCGACCATCCCATCAGACTGCGGATGTAAAGCTGTTGTCCTAGTCTTGTGAATACCAAGCAGATCACACATCTTCTGGAACAGTCTTGACTCGAAGTTCCTTCCTTGGTCAGTGTGAAGCTCTAAAGGAATTCCAAATCTACTGAAGACATTATGACTAATACTTCAGCTACAGTCGATGCTTCTTGGTTTGGAATGGCAAAAACTTCTGGCCATTTACTGAAATAATCCATCGCCACTAAAACGTACTTGTTGCCCTTGTGCGTTTCAGGGAATGGGCCTGCAATGTCAACAGCGATTCTTTCGAATGGCAGTCCAACGTTATATTGTTTCATTTTTCCCCTAGATCGAGTGCTTGGTCCTTGGCTGGCTGCACAAATTTTACATTGTCGACACCATTTCTTGACATCTTCGCAATAATCCACCCAGTAAAAGCGATCTCTCAGCTTGCTCAAGGTCTTGTTTACCCCAAGATGGGCTCCAGTTTTACCACCGTGAATTTCTTCCAATACCTGGGTAACTTTCTTCCTTGGTACCAGTAACTGAGTTGTTACTGTGCTGCCATCCGCACTTTCCCATGTGCGCTTTAACAATCCATTCTCAATAACCAGTGAATTCCACTGAGCCCAGAGAGCTTTGAAAACGAGCCCTCTGTCCGCAATATCCTGCCACGGTGGTCTCTCGCCGTTACCTTCCTTGAGCCGTAGTATTGCTCCGATGTCTGGATCTTCCATTTGATCTTTCCTCAATTGTGTCGTCGTCCACTGTTCATCGGTTCCAAGTTTAAAACTCCTTATCATGACAGTGCCTTCACGTTGTTCCGTTTTACAGCAGTGCTTACAATCGGTTTGACAGGGTCTTCTGGATAAACCGTCTGCGTTACCATGCATTTTTCCAGCACGATGTTGGATGGTAAAGTGATACTGTTGGAGCTTCTCGAGCCATCGTGCTATTTGACCTTCAGGTTGTTTCATCTCCATAAGCCACTTGAGAGCCGCATGATCTGTCCTAATTAAAAATTCTTGGCCGTACAGATATTTATGAAAATGATCAACTGCCTTCACAATTGCTAGCAGCTCCTTCCGGGTAACGCAGTAATTCCTTTCTGGTTTGGATAGAACTCGACTGTAATATTCTATCACTCGTTCTTCGCCATCTTGCACTTGTGATAGCACTGCACCTATGCCGATATTGCTGGCGTCGGTATCCAGGATATACCTCCCTTGTTGTTGCGGGTAGGCTAGAATAGGACTTGAACATAAAGCCGCCTTAAGTCTTCCAAAGGCTACATCACAATCGGTGTTCCATTCGTAGCCGACTTCATCACCTGTAAGTCTATGTAAGGGTGCAGCTATATTGGCAAATCCCTTGACAAATCTTCTGTAATAGGTGCATAAACCCAGAAAACTTCTAAGTTCATGTTTGTCGCGAGGTTTAGGCCAATCCTTGATTGCAGCGATTTTCTTCTGATCGGTGTAAATTCCGTCTGCCGAAACTACATGACCCAAGAATTCCACTTGTCGCTGGAATAAGCTACACTTCTTCGGGTTCAAGTACAGGTGCGCATTCCTTATGCGGCCGAAGACTTCTTCTAAATTTCGCAAATGCTCCTCAAAAGTTCTTCCCATAACCAATACATCGTCGAGTTAAACCATGCACGTTTTCCAAGTTAATCCTCTTAACACCACCTCCATGAGACGTTCGAAAGTGGCTGGAGCATTGCATAATCCAAACGGCATGACCTTGAATTGATATAGTCCGTTTCCTGTAGAAAAAGCCGTCTTTTCTTTGTCTTCCTCGTCTAGACCAACTTGCCAGTATCCACTCTTTAAGTCGAGAGTGGAGAACCAGCACGAACCTGCCAGAGTTGTTAATGTGTCATCTATACGTGGCAGTGGGTAGCTATCTTTCTTAGTGACGTCATTGAGCTTCCTATAATCCACGCAGAATCGTGTACTACCATCTTTCTTCGTCACCAAAACAACAGGAGATGACCATGGACTTGATGATTCTTCGATTACTCCATCTTCTAACATCTTATCTACCATTGTCTCCATTTCTTGTTGTTTGGAAAAGGGCACCCTTCTAGGACGTTGTCGAATCGGCTGAGCATGACCAGTATTAATCCGGTGCTTCACAAAATCCGTTCTTCCACTGTTGTTCTTCTCAAAAATACTGCCATGCTTTAGCAGGAACTGCTTGGCCTTCTGTTTCTCCTCAGGTGTTAGGTGATCCCATGGCTGTTCTAGATGTTTTAGTGTTCTTGGGATGCCTTTTGTGTAACAGCTGACGACACTTCATCACATCGGGTGACACTTCTTACAGGTTCGCAGATGGCTATCTTGTCACCTTTTTGGATCTTGACACAATTCATTGATGATCTTGACACAAAAACATTCGCAATTCTGATCGGTATATTCTTGTCGGTGTTCACCAATGATTTTCCCACCAAGTACCTATCTTGTTTCTTGTCGACACTTTGTACCAGTCCAACACAGCACCCAGCGATTTTCTCCACTTTACCGAATACGATCTTCTCGGTATTACCAGGTATCACCACAGTTTCCGCTGATCTTACATCCATCCTTCCTGGTCCCTCGTCTGGAGATAACATGAACTCTTCGTTTCCGATATTTAGGATATTTCTTTGGTGATCGAACGAAAATCCATGTTGACGAATCACATCCATGCCCAAGATGAAGTCATCTTCAATATCTGCCACTAAGACGCTATGCTGAAACTTCAAATTTCCTAACTTCAGTTCGACGATAGCCTTTCCCCGTACAACGGTCATTTCCCCCGTAACTGTACGTAAACACACTCTTCTTCCCAGAGGCATCAGCTTCAACCCTTGCACTGAGTTGGCCCGTACCAACGATACCATAGCGCCAGTGTCCACTGTCATTCGGATTCTCCTACCATTGACCTTCCCGTCGATCACCAAACTGTCAGCGGTTCTTCCTAAACTCCTAGTGGAAAAAATCCTGGGGGCTCTGTTCTCCCCAGTCAATACTTGCCCCTTAGTATTGACAGTTTTTCGATGTTTTTGTGTGATACGCGTCGGTATAAAAAATCAGAAAATTTCACTAGTGCTTCCTGTGATTAATGTGTATCCAAATAAGATGTTTTACATCGAACTGTGACTATTTAGAGTGGATATTCTAATAAATATTTACAATGGTTAATTGCACGCTATGTGTAAATCAGATAAGCCGGAGCAGGCCGGGCGTTTTTTGCGATGGCTGCAAAAACGGATTCCACGCTGTGTGCATCACAAAAACTGCCGATATTATTCAGCTATTAAACACTATACCGGGGCTATCTTGGAAGTGCTCGGATTGTACGAAGAACTGTATTTTGCTTAATTCAGCCAATCTACAAAATATGATGGAGTCTAAGTTGAACGATGCGGTATCTTCTTTAAAAACCGAAATAAATTTGATAAAGTTGGATGTATGTCGATCTACTGAAATAGAGGGACCTACACACCCTCTAAAATATTCTGACGTGTTAAAGGACAAGTCACAACCAGTTATTCTGATTCGTCCAAAGGACAACAAACAACTACACAGTCAAACGAAAGCTGATATATTGACTAATATTAATCCTTGCGAAGAAAATGTTCAGCTTACGAAAGTAGTGAACGCTAAGGATGGTGGAATAATTATCGCATGTAAAAATAAGGATGATAATGAGAAACTGAAAGCCCTTGCAAGAAGGAAAATGTCAGGCGGGTATAACGTGAAAGAAATTGGTGGTATTCTCCAAAGAATACGAATAGTTGGTTTATCTGCCAGCTACTCGTCGGATGATCTCTATAACTATCTCTTTGCCTGTAACACAAATATATTTCATGAAGAATCTCAATGTAAAATATTAAAAATATTTCCGACCAAGAAAAATCCAAATATATTTCAAGCCATAATTCAAGTAGACAGATCAGTATACGGGCGGGCATTGGAAACTGGCAACCTGTTTGTCGCATATGATAGCTGTAGTGTGTATGATGCATTTGACATTTTCAGGTGTTTCAAATGTAATAGTTTTGGTCATTCTGCTAATAAGTGTACTAACAAGCGGTCATGTCCTATCTTGCTGAAAATCACGAGCTAAAGGACTGCAAGTCAAATACTAAAAAATGCTCAAATTGCTTAAAACTTAATGATGAAAATGTGCCTGTGGATCATGCTGTATGGGAAAAAATCAAATGTTCGGCATATACAGATGCTTTAACGAGACTTGCCCCAAAGCCAGATAGGATCTAGCAACTACAACTTTTTATTGACTCTCCTAGTAAATATCTCTTTTATATCAAGTTTAGATTAAAGTCTTCAATCCCATTAAATTTATTTAATTACTGTTTATTGTTCTTTTGTTTTTTACTTTATACCTAATTTTTTGTTTACTTTTTTTCTCTACCAAATTAATATGTTAAATATTTCTGTTGCCTTTTTTAATGTGAGATCGCTTACCTGCAACTTTGTAAAATTTAAGGACATATTAAATGCAGAGCGTTATGATGTGGTCGGTGTGGTTGAAACTAGACTAGATGCTCGAATGCTTTCTGTTAATTTGAATATATCAGGTTATGATCTTGTAAGAATGGATCGTAACAGTCGAGGAGGAGGTGTTGCAGCTTACGTAAGTAATAAGTTAAAGTATATAAATTTGGGCGGTTCGTGTGCTGATGATCTTGAACAATTATGGATAAAAGTATACCTCTCAAAATGTACTTGTATAATTGGTACACTTTATAGACCTCCGCGTACCCTAAAAGAAAATTATTCAAATTTTTTAAACTTTTTTGAGGATAATGTATCTAATTTCGTAATATCTTGTAATAAATTTATATGTGGTGGAGATATAAACATAGATTTGTTAAATACGGAAAATAAATATACTATTCAGTTTTTAGATGCATTAGATTCTTTCGGTTTGAAGCAAATTATAAATTCTGCGACACGTGTTGATCGTCAGTCTGCAACACTGCTGGATGCTTTGATAATATCATCGGACTTGGAACCAATTGATTTTGGTGTAAAATATCCTGATGTTACGGATCATTTATTAGTTTTTTGTAGATTTAAGCAACCAAAAAGTGATGCTAATAGTTTAAAATTTACTTTTCGGAATTTTAAAAGACTCGATAAGGATTGGTTAATGGAATTGCTTTTGGTAACACCTTTTGACCTAATTCTGTATATTGAGAACATAGATGAGAAAGTTGCGGCATTCAGCGGTTTGCTGATTGATTTATTTGATACTGTTTGTCCATATAAAACTATTACATTTAAGAAGAAAAAACCACCTTGGATTACAGACACAATAATTCTAATGATAACCTTACGAGACAAATCTTTTAAGAAATATAAAAACTCAAAAAATTTACAAGACTGGAATTACTATAAAACACTTAGAAATCAGATAAATATAGCAATTAGAAACGAAAAGAGGGCATATCTCCAGGAAACCATAAATAATAATAGATCTCAAAAAGAATTATGGCAAAAATTTCGCGACTTAGAGATATATTCGAGGAATAAAAAAACTATAATACCAGAGTCACTGAATAATGCTCAACTTATCAATGATTATTTTTTGCAGCATAGTGGAATAGAGACGTCGTCAAACTTGGAATTAATACATTTTTATAAAAACCACACAGTTAAAAATTTCAATGCACTTTTTGAGTTTAGTTTGGTGGACGAAGACATTATATATAAGTATTTACTGGATATTAAATCGGAAGCAATTGGCATTGACGACGTGTCCATAAAAATGATTTTGCTTTGTTGTCCGTATATATTGCCTATAATAACAAATATTATCAATAGCTGTCTTTTATCTAACACATTTCCAGATGAATGGAAAATAAGTAAAGTTCTACCAATGCCAAAGAAGTCACATCCCTTAGAGCTTAGCGATTTGCGTCCGATAAGCATTTTACCAACGCTTTCTAAGTGCTTGGAAAAGATAATGAATGCTCAAATTAAAGTATATCTAGATAGAAATGTTTTACTTCCGAAGAGGCAATCTGGTTTCAGACAGGGATATAGTTGCACAACTTCTTTACTTGATGTTGTGGATGATGTTCTTAGAATGACAGATATTGGAAAAACAACAGTCTTTAGTTTTACTGGATTATACAAAGGCATTCGACACCATTTCTCATAAACTACTTTTGGCAATATTATCCTATACAGGCTTTTCCGCGGACGCGGTTGCAATGATTCATAGCTATTTGTCTAATAGATATCAAATTGTTCATACGGAAAACAGGCAATCTACTAAAAATAAAATTCTGAGAGGTGTGCCTCAAGGAACCATATTGGGCCCATTACTTTTTAATATTTATGCAGCACAAGTTTCTACGGAAGTGGTTACATCTAAAACATACTTTTACGCAGACGACACACAGTTAAGTTATTCATTCTATCCTAATGACATAGATAATGCTAATAAAGTCTTAAATAGTGATATAGATAAATTGGTTAAAGCTCCAGTAAACATGACTTAATTATTAATCCTAATAAATCTTCAGTGTTAATTTTTGGTTATAAACGCTAAGAAGTACAAAGTAAATTAAAGATAATGGTTGACAATAAAGAATTAAGTGCTGTGTCGTGTGCTAAGAATCTGGGAGTTGAACGGGATGTGGATCTTAGATTTAAAAAACATACTGCAAAGCTACTTCAGAGAGCATATTGTAACCTTAAGATGCTTTACCCCCATCGTAAAATACTTGATATACCAACTAAAATAATATATATATAATTACCGATACATTAGTTCTTAGTCATTTTAATTATTGTGATGTATTGTATGGGCCTTGTTTAGACGTTAGAGATACCGCCAGAATAGAAAAAGTTCAGAAATCTTGTTTGCGTTATATATATGGTATTCGGAAATATGATAGAATATCTCATAAACTTAAGGAGACAAAATGGATGAACATTGCAACTAGGCGTAGACTGCACTCTCTGACTCTGTTCCATTCAATTATAATAAATAAAAGTCCACCTTACCTTTATGAAAAAATACAGTTTCGTACTGCTATTCACAATTTGAATTTGAGGCAGAGGGGTCTCATTTCACCCACTCCGCACCGATCTGCATTGTTTGAACGATCTTTTACATTTAATATTTATAGTATGTACAACAATTTAGATGTTAAGTGTAAGAACTGCTCTTTGGGTGAATTTAAGATAAAAGCAAGAAAAATACTTTCTGAATATTGATTAGGTTGCATGTTGCGTGTAGGTGCTGTTTTCTATCTGATTTTTGTGGGAAATTTTAGATTGCCTTTTAGTTGTTTTGTTTTTATTATATTTAAATTATTATTTTTATATTACTTTTTTTTTTAACTTTGAGGCTGGAACTTGATCAGCAACTGTTGTTTTTCCAGCCTTTTTGTAGTTTGTAAGATTATATTGTTGTTTTTTTTGTATGATAATGTTTTTTAAACTCATCTGTATAAATTTGTTGCATTGTATATATACAAACTTCAATAAATATATTATTATTATTATTATTATTATTATTTTAGTTTTCCTGGTGCCTACGTTCTCTGGATGGTGAACGGGATCGCATTTGAACGCGGCAATCCCGTTTGATGTGGCCATTCCTGCCACATCTATAGCACCTTCTGTCCTGTGATCTTCTATGGTTCTCTGTCTGGGTGTTGTTGCTACTCTTGTTCACTAGTAACTCACATAGTTTACTAAACATCTCCTCCAAACGTATGTGAGAACTTCCGGGCTGTTCCTCAACCGTTACCGATCTTATCTTCGGTCTAGGGATGGCGCTAAATGCAGCTTCGATTTCCAGCGCCCTGACCAGTGCTTCGCTGCTGGTAGAAAATCGGGATATTTGCAGCGCCCTCTGCAATTCGTTGTCCCTCAGTCCGCTGATAAAGCACTGAGCAGCCAGTTCTTCCCTAAATCCTTCCGGTGCTTCTGGATACGCTAGGTGTACCAGGCGACGTAAGTCTGCTTCAAATTCCTGCAGACTCTCTTCGGACCTCTGCAGCGCGATGACAAGTGCCGCTGCTTTCTCCTGGTCAGTCCATCCATTCGCAGCAGCCGCTGCTTCAAACTGGCTGTGGTACATCGTCCAGGTGGTTTGTCCATCGTAGGTCGGGGCCTTGAGGTTCGCAGTTCCATGAACGCCAGGTGTCTTTACTTGTACCTTGGTCTTCTGTAGGTCCATCTCTAATTTTTCCATTTTCTGCTGAAGGCGTTCCTCAAGATCTTCTACGGCTTCTTGAAGGTGGATGTCTTGCCTTTTTCCAGTTCTTCAAAGTTCTTCTTAAATCGGTTTTGATCTTCTAATTTTTTCTTTCTGGCGACGCACTTCTAAATCTTCAACAATTTTCTCCAACCGTTCTTGTCTAATTTCTTGATTTTCAAGAATTTTCTGAAGCCGGTTCTGTTCTTCTTGTTTGTCGTGCTCTCGTTGAACTTTGAAATCTTCGAGAATTTTCTCAAGCCGGTCCTGTTCTTCTTGTTTGTCTTGTTGTCGTTGAATTTTCAAATCTTCGAAAATTTTGTCTTGTCGGTCCTGTTCTTCTTGTTTTTCTTTCTTTTGACGCGCTTCTAAACTTTCTAACATTTTTTCTTGATTTTCCATAAGTATTTTCTGTAGACGGTCTTGTTCCTCTTCTTTCTCTCTTCTCATATTCTCCATAAAATCGCCCAATAATTTGCTTACTTCCTCCATTTTCTTCGCTTGCTCCCTTGTACCAACCATAAAAATACTTAAATTCTGGCTAAAAATCTTCCAATCCACTTAATTTCTTCTTAAAATCCTCTTGAATCGCACTTCCGACACCAATTGTTACGGATTCCGTGGGTCCACTATTTAAACTCACGATAAAATACTTAACGAATTTATTTGTTTCACTCTGTACACAATAACTTATACTATTTACAACACAACTTATGCAACTACTATTACTCTAACGGTATTTCGCGGTATTTTCAAACTTCAGACTTCAGACTATCTTCAGACTTGTCCAACTGTCAAAGCGCGGGCCTTATATACCCCCTGGCGATGGTTTCCGGAATTTTCTAAAGAATTCTATAATTTTCTTTTACTTTCTGGCGAATGCGCCAGTTTCCTCAATGCACGTTGCGATTATTTAGCAGTATGCAGTTATGCAACCAGTAATACACCTTGACAATATTATATTATATATATTAACTAACGTATATTGACTCCAAACTGCATTCTGTGAAGCCGAGCCGGTGAAATGGGTATATAAATCTTCGCTCAGTTAGTGGAGCACAAGCGTTGTGCGCAAGCGTGAATTTTTAATTATCGATCGGATAACTAAACCAATCAGAGCATAAGCTGTTCATTCGTACGACTTCGTACAGCTTCGTACGGCTTTCGTTCGCGCTTTTTCAGCTGTTCGAATTTGAAATTCGTTCCGACGATTAATATAAATAATAATGTTAATAAATTCCATTAGTAGAATAAAGTTATTTTATCCTACTAGCTTATAAAATATCACTTTAAACGTGGATAAAAAATGCTTAATATGATTGTAGATTAAATGACTTAATGTTTTAAATAATTAAATGGTTACATAGTTTTACCACGGTTTTACTACGGATATACGGCGTGGTTTTAGTACATAAATTTAATTCTTAGATTTTAAATTAAAACCACAGCTTACAGAATAATATAGCTTGGACACTCGCCAATTTTTCCCACGCTCGAATTTAAAACGCCCCGCTCCGACGATGCTTAACTGAATTAAGCGAGCGACAGTCAGCCTCATTCAGTCTATGCATAACCTCCACCGGTGACCAAGAACGGTAAACTAATAGGATTGCTCATCCTCATAAGACGTACGTTCACCTCTTCCCGCGCTTCAGCTGACAGTTGTGACGTCATTGTAGTCCTTGTCAACGCCTTCGTGGCCTTGTCATGATAGTGTGTATTATTAGTTGCCTATGGTAAACATATAAAAATAACAGCTGAGAAATTTTGAGTTATTTATTTTGTCAATTTTAAATGTGAAAAAGGTGTCTTTAAAGTTTTTAGAGCTATAGAGTGTATAAATACGTACATTTTGTGTTGTGGATTGTGACAAAGTGCTTACTAAGTGCCCACGATTTTATTTATTAATTATTTTAAAGCAAAATATGGAAGTACTCTAAAAAGAATGCTTGCAAAAGGTGATGCTGGGAACTGCTGTTCTTAAAAATGCATTATCCGAGTATTTAATACGATTTATACAGTTAATTTTCTATACTGCATACATATAATGTGTTTAAATAAATAAACTAAATAATGAACGTTTTGCATTCGGCAACCAATAATGCACGTGTATATATTATTGGTTGCCGGATAAGGACCATGACGGATAAGGACCATGACGAATAATAATAACGATGAAGGAATAATAACCATGACAAGGACTACAATTACGTCACAAAGCGAGTAGTTTTCGCATGCACCTGGCGGACACTTTTGGCTGAATGAGCAGTCCTATTAGGTTAACTGTTCTTGACCGGTGACGAGTAGGGCCGTATTACGGAAGATTTTAATTCGATTTTTTCTTATATTTAACCAGAGGTATTTGTGCTTTTATTTCAATTTTATTTTTATTGTTGGAATGGGAAAAGGTTTTCCTGGATGTGCGGCTACTGGTTACACAAATAATTATGGAAATAATTCAAAATATAGTCTGTTTAATTTTCAATTCAAAATTAATGTTCAATTCAAAAGTATTCACACTTTAGAGCTTTTCAAAACGATAAAGACCACTTATTTGGAGGCTTGCTAATGCCAAGTGACCATTTTTTTATTTAGTGTCCTCATTGGAGGCTATTTTTATAAGCTTTGTATGTAACTATCTATGTATATGAGTATGTTTTTGCGAGGCAAATCTTGTAAGCTAAATTAGAACCACTTCCTTTTATTGTAGGAGATTGAAATTTGGCATGTAGGTTCAGACCCGATGACAATACATTTTTTGCAAGGCATGACCCGAATTTTTGACAGCTGTCAAAATGGCGGCATTTTTGAGGTTTTTGATTTTTTAAAATTCTATTTATGAATGGATCGGGCTAAAATTATATATATATATATATATATATATATATATATATATATATATATATATATATATATATATATGGGTATATTGTGGAAAAAAGTATATGGACGGTCATCTTGAAAAAATGACAGTTTAATGACATGTGAAAATTTCAAAGTCAACCGATTTTGATAAAAATTGATATATAGGATGGCCATGGGCTAAAATGAAAGAAAAAAATTTTGAGCTGTCAAATTTGACAGCTGTCAAAAAAATTTCAAAGTTGTCCGATTTGGGATAAAAATCGATGATGGCCATGGGCTAAAATGAAAGAAAAAAATTTTGAGCTGTCAAACTTGACAGCTGTCAAAAAAATTTCAAATTTGTCCGATTTTGATAAAAATCGATATATTGAACTACCCCATAGTCGGTTTTTTCATTTTATTTGTCTCACATTTGAACTGTCAAATTTGACAGCTGTCGTTTTTTTTAAGTTCTCCTTTTTTAATGAAAATCGATATACATATTATTAGGATGCCCATAGAAAGTTATTTAAGAAAAAAATTGAGTTTAAATGTGTGGCACTGAGAAACCAGCATAACTAAAAAGTAGAAAATAAATTTTACAAAAAAACTTTTTTTTAAAAACAAGCTTTTATTTAAATTTAAATACACTAAAAAGAATAAAATAAACTTTTTCTTTAAAACTTTTATTATGAACTTCTAACGCCATTACATAATTTTAATATTATATAAAAGCTTGTCGCGAGATTTCTCTACATCGATAAACAAGTAAATTAACTAAAACCTGTGTCTACCTTGTCTCATTTTCAAAGTTTGTGTTATGATAGACCACTAGACCAGGAATTACAAGATAAAGTCGTACCAGATTTTTATGAGTGCAACTGTACACTCAAATCTCGCGGCAAGCTTTTATATATTAATATTAAAATTGTGTAATGACGTTATAAGTCCATAATAAAAGTTTTAAAGGAAAAGTTTATTTTATTCTTTTTAGTGTATTTAAATAAAAACTTGTTTTTAAAAAAGTTTTTTTATAAAATTTATCAGAACAATTTTGAAGAACTTTCCTTAAATGAAAATATATTATGTAAATTCGTTAAATTATTTCAGACAATTAAATTCAACCATCCTTGTCAAAATTTTCCTATAATGTATTTTTTGTTAAAATTATACGCAAAAGTTATAGTTATTAACGTAATAAGGCCGATAAACAACAAATAACGGCCGGGCTGAAGTTTGTGATCCGAGGCGATAGCCGAGGATCATAAGCAGCCAAGGCCGTTATTTGTTGCCATCGGCTTTCAATGTTGCAATTCTAGATTTTCGTCATACTGCAGATTTTTAGAGCAATAAACACTACTATTTAATAACAAATTTTATTGAACAATAACACAAGTAAGGATAAAAAATACATAATGTCTTATACTAAAATTCATTTTTCATGATAATGAACATGGAAATTAAAAAGTGCACTTGTTGTTCTTAGAAATCTGTAATCCTTCCTGAGGGATTTACAGATTTTATAGAAAAGATGATGCTACTGAAGAATGGCAAATATTTGTATCCACTAAAGACACATTATTTTTGGAGCTATCATGAAAAAGTTGATTTGTTATTTTCATTCTTTTGGAAACTGATTTTTTATGTAATTTTCTGCCACTGTTGAAGACTCCCATCCTCCTAGCTCCTTTTAGCGATAGTAAATCACCACCATTTTCGGCGAGCATGGTTGCTGATGATCTACGAAATGAATGCCCTGTATAACGTTCTGGATTCTCCAAGTTCAAAAATTTTGCAATTTTCTGCGGTACGCTCCCCGATGGTATGTATACCGACGATTTGCTTAACACACTTGCCTTTCTTTGTAACCAATGAAAAATTTTGGATTGTCAAAGTTACGAGGACGCAGGTTGATGTATTTTTGTAAACCATAGGCATCAAACGGAGGCCCGTTTTGGAATAAGAAATTTCCTATCTTTCTTATTTTAGTATTTCTTAATGAGACAAGAATATTTTCTCCGAATCTTCGAAATCATCAACTGTGAGTGACCAAAGCTCGCTGCGCCTACAAGCTCAAGAATACCAAGCACCAATACAATTTTTCGAGTAACCAGGTGTAATCATCGGCATCCAGTAGAAATTATTTATGTCATTCTCCGACAGAACTTTGGCTTTTTTGGTGAATAACCTTCGTTTTTGCGCCTCAGAAACATGAACAGTTTACCAAATCTATGAACAAATATAATTTAGATGAGTATGATTAAATATCGAAGAATATAATGGCTTTTACCTTGATATGTCGATGTTTTCATATACTCTCAACGCAAGCTTCAGCATGGAATCTTTGTCCACAGTGATGTAGGAGAATACATTTCAGACATTCTTTTAGCATAAGCCAGCAATACCGCTTCATTTACGCTGTTTATACTTCTATCCTGCCGCCACTTCAAAAAATTGTCATATTCCTGCTGATATCTCTCTCTGGTTATAGTCGGAAGTATAATTTTGAGTAGCCGCAGCCGCTTCCTCCTGTATTTCCAACGGAATTTCTCGCGACATCTCGCTATGGTCTATTTTCCCAATTTTTGAAAAGTCCAACTGACAATAAATAGTCATTGTTGCAGGTGACAGACGTTACGATTACCTTAGAAACTTAACGGCCGCCGGCCGTTATGATAACGTCCGGCGGACGTTATATGCATCTTTTCCATTCTGATTTTGCTTATGTTATAATAATATAACAATATAGTATGACGAAAATTTATTAATACCTTAAAGAATATTAATAAGAACTTAAATGTAGCAAACAAAAACCGAAAGCTCCTAATTTGGAAACATTCGTAAATAACTATAAGTAATCAATGTACCTATTTCATTTTGCTGTTATTTCTAGAAATAAATTAATTAATTTGTTTTTTAAATGTTTTTCTTTGAGAATGCATATTTATTTAAAGTCAACAATTTAAAAAACGTGTTTCTAAATTATGTTCTAGCACCAGTCGAATAATTTTTTACGTCACGTGTAAAATTTTTTTTAATACATCTCTGGGCTGACTGCCGCTTACGCGGCTATTGGTTGTGGCGAGAAAGCTCGCCGCTCTAGTGTTCTCCCTCTTTTGAATCGCAAATCCGAGCGTAAAAAGATCAAAGCGGCACGCTACACTGTCCGAGCTGTTTTTTACTTAAGCTGTGTTAAAACTATAGATAGTAAAAATTAAAATGCAATTTTACTGTAATCACTTTATTTATTAATTTTAAAATCTGTAAACTAGAGGCAATATAAGGACACAGAACTTTACCAACTATGTACATTTACTTATAAAAAATTATGTTTATTTAATACGTTGCCGTACCATGTTAGAATTTTTAATACGGAATTTTAATTTTTTTCTAGCTGATCAAATTAGCTATTTTGTAGTAATACAATTATTTTAGTATTAATATATTTATGACATTTATATTCATAAAAATTTGTACTTGTTTGTCAATTTAACATTTAATTTTTAATATGAAATGTAATTTTTCAATAATCAATTCTGCAATGTTAGTAAGGCAAATGTTATTAGATATAATTAATATATTAAACATATTTTTATAAAATATAACATAAAAAAATTGTTTATATTTAATTTTTAGTAATTATTTAAGTGACACAAAAGAGAAAAGTTAATTTTATTTTGGCCTTTATAGTCAGTTTAATAACATTACAGTTGAGGGTTGGAAACTTTGGTGATATAACAGCAAAATAAAACATCAATTCACCACAATACACCAAAACACTTTTGCACCGGACGCGCATTTCGCTAACCATGTTAGCATTAACAGCAAATGATTAAAACTAAGTTTTGTCTGCTGATGATGGTATCATAGTTAGCGAAACACGCGTCCAGTGCAAAAGTAAAGTGTTTTGGTATATCGCAGTTTAATAACATGAATATTTTAGTAGGATATAAGAAAACAAATGAGTTAGCATGAACAGTTTATTATATACTTATGGAAAGCTATTCCAACAACCTTTTTCCTGTCGCACAAAAAACACAATTTTCTACTCATTTTTGTTTCAAAGAAATAAAAACACAAGTGAAGAGTGAAGCTCAAAATACACAAAAGCCGATGCGAACACAAAGACAGTTGAATAGAAATGAGGATCGTGTTTGCGCTCCCGTTCCACCACGCGTTCCACAAGGCCAAGCTAAAACTAATCGATATTCGGAATTTTGGAGGTGTGCTATTGCGCCAGCTTTTTTTTAACAGACGAACTTATGTGAAATATACATGGACCGGTTATCTAGTTGTCTCTAACTCAGCTTCAACTCCAACACATTGCAGGGATAGGCGATAATCAGTATATATTTAATATGTATATGGTCATATGTTAACATACCAATGTCGCTTTTTTATCTGAAAAAATAAAAGAGTTATAGGCGGTGAGCCACTTTCGAGACGCACCCGGTATATAAGTCCATATACTTAGGACTTTTCGAAAAAAAGTGAGTTCGAGTGACAAAATTTGTAAGGTAAATAAAACGCGAATTAAAATATTTAGAAACAAAAGTTTTTTATTAAAGTTTTTAAAACTTTTATTAAATTTGTAAATGTTTTAGCTAATACTCTAACTAATTGTTAATGTTAACATTTTAATATGAAATCTAAAATTTGACAAGTAAACCAAGTTACACAACTCTGACTGTATACTTAATTTTCGGTTTATAGGCAAACCAGAAATACAGATGAATATCGCAATCTCAAGTTTTTCGTTTATTTTAAACATTGAACATATTGAGAATCAGAGCTTTCAACTATTAATTTTGTTAAAATTCGATGTGATCGTTGTCTTAAACTTATTAATGGTTTAATATGTAGACATTGCTTGGCTTAAAAGCGAACTACAAGAGTCTTACTGGACAAGACTGGAAACCAGGTGTTGTAGCAAGCACTCCAGTGAAGGTGGAGCCTATTTCACCACCTCCTGATTCACCACCAGCATTTACTTCGCTATCGGAAGGTGATCTACTGGATCGAGTTGCTATTCAAGGCGATAAAGTTCGGCAGTTGAAAACAGGTAATTTGTCATTTAATTTAATTCGGTAATTCGGTTTAAATATTGTTTTTTTTTTAATTCTAGCAAAAGCAGATAAAACTACTGTTGAGGGCGAAGTAAAGATCCTTCTGCAGCTTAAAGCCGACTTTAAAGCTGCCACTGGTAAAGACTGGAAGCCCGGTATGAAACCTGAAGACCCCCCAGTACCATCAACAACCCTGAATGGCGCTGGAGATAATTCCAAAGATATCTTGACAGCGAGAGTTAACGAACAAGGAACGATTGTCAGAGATTTGAAGAGTAAGAAAGCTAGCAAGGCTGAAATAGACGCTGCAGTGAAGGTTTTACTGGATCTCAAAGCCGAATATAAGAAACTAGTCGGTGAAGACTTCCCTATCGCCGGTAGAGCACCTAGCAAACCTAAAGAGCCAGCCCCAGCCAAAGAGAAGGTTTCGAAGCAGAAGCAAGCGACTGGAAAGGAGAAGAAACCGGTAGATATAGATGAGAACAATGGTGGCCCGAAAAAACAAACCCGTCTAGGCTTGGAAGCAAAAAAAGAAGAATCGTTATCGGACTGGTATTCTCAGGTAAGGATGTGTCGTAGAATCGATATTTTGTATAATATCGATATACTTATTCTATTTGCAGGTTATTACCAAGGGCGAAATGATCGAGTACTACGACGTTTCGGGATGTTACATCTTCAGGCCGTGGTCTTTCGCAATTTGGGAAGCTATAAGAGATTGGTTTGATGCAGAAATAAAAAAACTAGGCGTGCAAAATTGTTATTTTCCGATTTTCGTGTCGAGAAGTGTGTTGGAAAAAGAAAAAACGCACATTGCTGATTTCGCACCTGAGGTACATCTATATGTTATATAACCTAACCTAACCAAACCTCTATAGTACAAAAAAAATGTTTTGTAGGTAGCTTGGGTAACCAAATCAGGAGACTCAGATTTGGCCGAGCCTATCGCAGTTAGACCAACATCAGAGACAGTAATGTATCCGGCCTATGCAAAATGGATACAATCCTACCGCGATTTACCCATTAAACTGAACCAGTGGAACAACGTTGTCGTAAGTAGAAACTCTATGGTAATCGCAAAACATTTTCCGATGCACGTGATCAGCTTTGAGTGACAAGCGTGGCGACAGCGCTACCAGATTGTGATGGATTTATGAGAGAGATTTATAGCTTGGCCTGAATCTTAATTTAAAAGTGACAAACAATATATTTATTATATCATTTTTTAAAGATTTTTACGTTTTATTTTTAATTTAATAACTAATATTTGAGTAATTAATTGATTTATTTGTTTTATAGTACTATTATACTGTTTATTTTACTTATTATATATTGGCAAAAACTAGTCTATTATGAAGATTTTTCTAAGCGTTATTATGGGTTATTTATTTATTTATTGATGTACATCTTACAACGCCATAAGTGGTAATAACAAGTAAGAGGGTGCTATTAATGCACAAACTAATAATCACAGAATTTAATAAAAACTAACGTGGAAATAACTGAAAGTGGTGTAATGTGCTTATCAATCAAACTTACTTCTCTGACTGCAGTAAAGGGTAATAAAGGACCTTTATTATCACGTTCTCGTTCACAATAGTTTATCAGGGAAGCTACAAGTTCTTTACTTCGACTGTTCAAATGCTTCGGCATATTTTCAACACACAATTTCAAGAAATGCAATACAAAAACTCGAAAATTTAGTTCTTAAAAGAACTGTTTGTGCTTAAAAGTACAATTGAGCGTCCGGATTGCACAACGACCTTAGCGCGTGGTCGCAGGCAGCCCAGTAGGCAAGCGAGACAGCGACTCGCCGATTTAACAAAATAAATAATTTTAAACCTGCCGTCATTTCGTTAATAATTATCGTATCGTGTTGATTTTTGCATAGAAATACTCATGAGTCTTTGGCGCTTCCGACAAGCCTAAATAACTGGATTATTTTTTATATCTTCGATTTGTTTACATTGCCCGAGCATATTATAACTTTGAGATAAAAATCTCTGTTATAAATTTTAAAACTGACAGATATGAATACTATCATTTAATTAGTTGTACATTTAGTTACAACATATTCAAAATTTAGGTCTATCGGTTTATGCTAGCAGTAATATCGAGTATAAATAAAAAAATGGTCAGTACAACGCTCGCCGTTTTTAGCGCACGTTCAGCTTTGGTTTTAGTTTTAGCGCTATTTTTACAGAAAATAAATTCTGAACTTTGATCAAATGAAAAGAACATTATCATTGCTGATATCTCCTGGTTATAATGTAGTTATTTTTTCAAAATATTGCATTGTTTTAGCTTAAAAAAAGCTTGAATTATTCGGCTTTTTTGCGAGAGCTACCGGCGCTGCGTTAATAAAGAGATGGCTATGTACCTCAATCGAAAGGGAGTATTTGCGATAGTCTTTTGTTTACACGGAGTATAGAAAATTTTTGCCACAGTTTGTTTACTACCAGTAGTATTTGTGCGTTTTTTTAATTATTTATTATTAAATAGAGGGAAATGCGACCGAAAAGAAAGGTCAAAAGTCAGTAGAAATCCGGATAAATGGAAGTGCAATATTTCCAAAAAATCTAGTGACGATGTAAAATTACAGTCTATTGTGGCTATGATTGACGTACATAGCCATCTCTTTATTAACGCAGCTCCGGTAGCTCTCGCAAAAAAGCCGCATAATTCAAGTTTTTTTAAGCCAAAACAATGCAATATTTAAAAAAAAAGAACTACATTATAACCAGAAGAGAGATATCGGCAATGATAATGTTCTTTTCATTTGATCAAAGTTCAGAATTTATTTTCTGTAAAAATAGCGCTAAAACTAAAACCAAAGCTGAACGTGCGCTAAAAACGGCGAGCGTTGTACTGACCATTTTTTTTATTTATATACTTGGGCAATGTAAACAAATCGAAAATATAAAAAATAATCCAGTTATTTAGGCTTGTCGGAAGCGCTAAAGACTCATGAGTATTTCTATGCAAAAATCAACACGATACGATAATTATTAACGAAATGACGGCAGGTTTAAAATTATTTATTTTGTTAAATCGGCGCGTCGCTGTCTCGCTTGCCTACTGGGCTGCCCGCCGCCACGCGCTAAGGTCGTTGTGCAATCCGGACGCTCAATTTAAAAAAAAATACTATGAAAATAGGCAAAAAAAACGAGAATTACTCACAAAGATGCAAGAACAACACGATATTATACAAAATAATGACATTAGGATAATTGTCAAATAATAATAAACAACCTTGCTGAAAACGGCGCAATGTGACCAACATAGCGATAATAAAATTGGGTTTAAACTAATTTTTGCACCTTTAATCTAAATAAAATACCTGTTACAATCATTTGCTCTATAATGTAAAATGAAGAGCTGCTCGGTATCTTAAATTATTCAACAAATTTAAACATTTTTGCCAAAATTTCATTTAGCCAGGTTTATAGACTTTAGTGTCAATGTCGATATGATTGATAACGTGCATTGGAAAATGTTTTGCGATTACAACATAGTCCAATCAGCTATAGAATATATGTAAAGTCCCAATATATGATATTAGTGGGAAGATTATATTATATTATAGATTAAACTGGGAAGTAGTATTTTTTCTTTTTTGTATGACATCTATCCAAATCCTATATTCTGTGGCATAATGAATAAATTGAAACAAAAAAAATTTGATCATTTAGAGATGGGAATTTAAACATCCTCAACCTTTTCTACGCACTAGAGAATTTCTGTGGCAAGAGGGACATACGGCTTATGCTTTGAAGGATGAAGCTGATGTTGAAGTCAAAATTATACTAGGTATGTTTAAAAACAATTATGTGTTAGGTTAGGCACTATGTGCGCATATTTAAAGGACATGTTTGAAAAAGTGTAGTTTGAAATGTTGAAAAAGTAATAAATTAAAAAATTATTTTTTACGCGTAAAAATTACGTGTTAATTGTGTGTAATAGTTTTATTTTTACGTGTAACAAATATTTTTTTACGTGTAACATATAGTTTTATACGCGTAAAAAATAGTTGTTTTGCGTGTAACAAATAATTTTATACGTGTAAAATAAAAATTAATAAATAATTTGATTCACTTTTACAAAATTTGTATTGAAATATTAATATTTTTAAGAAGCACGTGGACTGCTCACAAATACACGTCGCGTCACTGCGAATTTCTAAGCCATTACCAGTAGCTCGTGTGTCACGGCCTTGAATATTTACTACCAGCGCGCGTAAAGAAGTTTTACTTACGAGTCACTTAAATTTCATTAAAATTCACTAAAAATTACTAACTACTGCTTTTAAGCCCTGTTTACAGTATAACGTTCTACCTGTCACTTTTGCGTGATGTCAGAAAGACCGTCTAGAAAATTTACGGCAGTTGTCTGACGACTGTAAGACAGTTGACTGACGGTTGTCAAGACGGTTGAAGTTTTACCTGTCAGGTGAGATGGATTAAAAGCTAGCGTACACTAGGTTTTCCAAACCGGGATCCCGGTGTATGTTTATCTCTGAGATCCCGATTCCCGATATTAAATCTCGGGATCCCGAAAATCTAAAAAAATTTAAATGCCCAATCTAAAAGGATTCCACTTTATACATTTTACTCTTTCAAAGATTATGTTTAAGTTATACTAAGCAGAACGTCAATATCTAAGAGTTAAATTTCCGTGTTTGCTATAATTTTTTTTGCAACAAGAATTGTATTTTTTTACTTACTAAATATGAATGATACTCTGTTTTGTTTATTTTAATAAAGCTATTTTTTCACTTTCTTTTTGATATACACGGTCGCTGATATGTATGGGAACGGTCGATTATTAGGTAAAATATACAAGGTACCGCAAAAAAGCTTAATACAAAAGATTTGATATCTCATTTTAATTTTATACATCTATAAATGCTAACTTGAAAACGAATGTCAAATATTATTAATTATCACAGTTTCCGCAGAATGGCATCGTTAAATGAAACAGAACATATTGAAATTAATTAAATGGAAGAATGGAATTGTTTGAATAAGTAATATTTTCAAAAGTCAATGACTCGGAAACGGTTGGGTTGAGGTACTCGATTTGGTATTAGAATTCGGTGTGTATCTCGATTTTTCCTTAGAATCGAAGGAAGAATTGAAATATGTAATAATATACAGGGGGTTCCATTTAAAAAATTAAACTTTGATGCCTTGGACTATATGACCGATTCTGTATACTTAAATTTAATACTCGCTAATAGACATTTAAAAACGCTCTAACTTTTATATTTAACTTTTTGCGGTACCTAGTATGTATGTAGCTGCATTTTTTAATAGTATTTCTTTAGATAAAATGTCTCATTCTGATAGCCAATCCTGGGACTATAGGTTCTTACACCGGGATTTCAAAACTACCGCCTGGGACGTGGTAAAACACTGTACTATAGATAGAATTAATTTGTTTTAGACTTGTATGCTCAAATCTACGAACATCTGCTTGCCATACCCGTCATTAAAGGTCGCAAAACCGAAAAAGAAAAGTTTGCAGGCGGTGACTACACCCTCACAGTCGAAGCTTTCGTTTCTGCCAGCGGCAGAGGTATCCAAGGTGGTACCTCCCACCACTTAGGTCAAAATTTCTCAAAAATGTTCGAGATCGTCTACGAGGACCCCGAGACCCAGGACAAGAAATACGTATTTCAGAATTCGTGGGGCCTCACCACCAGGACGATTGGCGTCATGATTATGGTACACGCTGATAACCAGGGCCTGGTGCTGCCCCCTAGGGTAGCCAGCGTGCAAGTTGTTATTGTGCCATGCGGTATAACTGCAAATCTGTCGGAAGAAGTCAAGAAAAAACTGCAGGAATCTTGCGATAGCTTGGAGAAGGATTTAAAAAAATCTGGAGTTAAAGTTAAGGGAGATTACAGACAGAATTATTCACCTGGATGGAAGTTCAACCACTGGGAATTAAAGGTAAGTGTTAGATAGATATATTTTATATCAATTAAACTTTTAGTTACGTAATCGAGGGCGCGATTTTTAAATTCAATGTTTACAACCATGGACATATTCGACGCCGTGCTGACTAACTGGAATTTAAATTTCGCGCTGGGGATTCAGTTGGTAGCTCTGCTGTGAAAAATGTCAAGTTGCCGCATTTATTTATTTCCTGGCTGACACTGTTATTCGTTTTGACATTTTAGTTTTGTATTAAGAGTTTTTGGTTTAAATAAATGGTATTGTGATACTTTAAGCTTGAAAATCTTTACTAGCAGATATTGCAGTCGAATATTGTTCTTTTTAAAACCGTTTTTTCTGCAAAACGTGCAAGATAGCCGTAAAAAACTTATCGCAACTTTATTAGAATATTTTGAACGGGAAAGCGGTAGTGTAATGGTCTTTTATGTCCCTTAAGTGCTGTTAAGAGGGTGAGTTTTGTTGATGTAAATAATAACGGTTTATCTATACTAATATATAAAATCCTTAAGTGATGAACTGACATGAATGATGTGCTGACATACTGATTAATCACGATCTTGCTCAAACCACTCAACGTAAGAAGCTCAATTTTGGCATACAGGTTGATTCTAGGGTGTAAAGGTTCGATAAGAAGGGATTTTTCGAAATTCCAGTTCTAAGAGGGTGAAACCACCCGTCAAATATTACAATATTTTTTATTTAAAAAACGGTCAAGTTTCCGAAAAAAAGCTTAAACGCGTATATTTTATTTTGTTTTTTTACATATTTTAAGATTTTTTAAAAAATGTATACAGGGTGTTTCGAAAAATCTGGTCATTGATTAATCACGATCCTGCTTAAAGCGCTTGACGTAAAACGCTGATTTTTGGAAAACAGATTGACTTTTGGGTGTAGAGGTTCGATAAGAAGGGATTTTTCGAAACTCGAATTCTAAGGGGGTGAAACTATCCCTCAAATATTAAAATAATTTTTATTTAAAAACCGGTGAGTTTTTCGGAAAAAGTCTTAAACATTGTATTTTATTTTGTTGTTTTTGTTGTTTTACATATTTTAAGATTTTTTATAAATTTATACAGTGTGTTTTATAAAATATGACCATTGAGTAATCACGATTCTGCTTAAACTGCTTGACGTTTAAAGCTGATTTTTGGCAAACGGATTGACTGTGGGATGTAGAGGTTGGATTAGGAGGGGTTTCTCGAATCTCAAATTCCAAAAGGGTGAAAACGCCCCTCAAATATTACAATATTTGTAATTCAAAAACGGTTAGTCTTTCGGGAAAACGCTTGGATAAGCATAATTTATTTGGTTTTTTACGTATTTTGAAATTTTTTAAAAAATCATACAGGGTGTTCCAAAAAGTTAATAGGTAATTTCTTAACCACGATTCTGATTAAACTGCTTGACATAAAAAGCTTATTTTTGGCAAACGGATTTTTCGAAAGTCAAATTCCAACAAGATGAAACTACCCCTCAAATATTACCAAGTTATATAATAATATCGCCATATTGTTTTTTCTCATGCTGACATAAATGTGAGAAAATTTTATCCAATTTGTATGTTAATAGAAATTCTTGCTTTTCTTCATCATAACCATTACAAATGATTAATTCCATGCGAACGAAGTCGCTGGTACACGCTAGTATATTTATAATAATGTTTCGTAAAATATTTTGATTAAAAGAAAATATTTAAAAGTGGGCAACACTGTGCTTAATCACGTGACAAAAAGTTTATTTGGTATGAACTGTAAGAGATATAGATCGCCGACCTTATAATTTCTTGTGAGTTTGTTCGATACAAACGTCTTTTGTTACAGCAGGTTAAATTGAAGGATCCAGGGGAAAAACATGATAAGCGCCATTATACTAATTTTACAGGAGAGCACTAGACGACTGGTGGTTATCAGGTTCTTTCCGTGTATTCTATATTTTTACTAGGCATATATCATAGGATTTAACAACTTATTCCCCTGCAGTGTTTACACCTCGTTTACACATTTTGTAGGGACCAGTTAGACCTACTATAATATTGTAAAATCCTAAAATTAAGATATTGGCGTTTATCAAGTTTTTCCCCTGGACCCTTCAATTATAATTGGTTTTGTTATATTATTATAATTTTTGTGGCACACTTTGCTAACAACTATTTTTCTTTATACAACTAAATTAAATCTAATTCTTTCATTTATAAGGGTGTACCTATAAGGATTGAGTTAGGACCAAAGGACATTGAAAAAAATCAACTCGTTGCGGTACGCCGAGACACCGGAGAAAAACTGACCCTTCCCAGAGCTTCTGCGGCCGAAAAAATCAACGAACTCCTTAACCAAATCCAAGATAATTTGTTTAAAAAGTACTGTTACCCACGACCAATTTTATATTGAGATACTATTTTTATCTTGTTCTTTTAGAGCTTCAGATGACCTAAACAGCCATAAAATTCTGCTCACCGACTGGTCGCAGTTCTCCAGCAATTTGGACAAGAAAAACATCATTCTAGCCCCATTTTGTGGCCAGTCTGAATGCGAAGACAAAATCAAAAATGACAGCGCCAGGTAAATGATGAGTGACGATTTGAACAGCGGCGGCTCGTTAGGGTAGGCTTCTGAGGCCGCGCCTCACCTGTAAAATGAAGGAACGACTTATTTTTCCTATCTAGTTTTTTTTTATTTAATTCCAGTATAACTTATTAAAATTCTACAACACATTCAGCATAATAAAACTAAAATAATATATTTTATAAATACATCCAGGTCCAGGCGCAACATAAGCCGCCTAAACCCAGCCAAAAATAACGCGACTTGACAGAGGCGAAATAATTCTAGCTTGGAAAGTTCGAATTGCCTACCTAATAGCAGCGACGATTTAAGATCATGGCCGGTGAAGCGACGGCCCACGGCGGGGTACTCTCGCTCGCAGGTTTGAGGCGAGATATTTGGCGCTTGAGTGTGTTTTCATTGGTAGTTTAAATCATCTGACTATTGACTATTGAAAAATGCGACAAAGTCTCGATCTCATATGCATGACTCAGGAAGGTAAAGTGCAGGTGGCTGGCCGGTGTGGTGACAACAGGGTTGGTGAATTAATTAGCGTATGTTTTTGTTTTTATTTAGACATTTAGGGCGAGAATTATTTAGATTGTTTGTGTTTCTAAATTTAAATTATTTAATGGCTATTAGATACAATATTTTTAACTCGATTACACACAGGTAAGGTGGAATTTTAGCAGTTTTTGAAACTCAACGAAACAAATATTGTTGAAATTTGAAGGTTTTTTCTTCGCCGGTAAGATTTATTTTATTTATTTTAATGTACCGAAGAGGAGTTGAATTTTAGTATTTTCTTTAAAATGAATCCTATTTATAACGTTATTCTTTCTATACTTGAAACTCCTTTTCTAAGACGAAATAAAGCTGAAAGAAGACAAATAAATATTAAAAAGTCAAAAATTTGAGCAATATTTAAGGATAGAAGTAGACAATAGGTATTTAAGAACTTTTCAAATATCTTATTGGTACTATACCTACTAGATTTGGTACCATTAAAAAAAAAGGATAACGCGTCGCAGAATAATACTTCATAGGTGAGAAAAATTGTTCGTATTAAAACAAAATTATTAACCTCATGTAGCCTCACCTTCCGATATACTTATGAGCCGCCACTGTTTGTTATAGATATACGTGTTCATACAATCATGCAAAATTCTACGCCAAACTTTCTAAAATATAACATTTTTCTTTGTTTTTTTCTTAAATGGAACATTCTGTATATTATTTTTTATTAGATGGAGAATTAAAAAATAAACATTTTTTGTATTTAAAGTATTTCAAGGTTTCGCATACCGAGGGTGCCATTTAAACATCAAAAGTTGTAGTCATTTCCGGTGAAACAGGAAGTGACCAAAAACAATTTAATACGTCAATCAATCCTAATTTATGCCATATACTGAGATATCTAATCTCGTTTTTTATCTGAAAAAAAATTAAAAAAAAACTTCTGAGACGCACCCGTTATAGCCTTAGGTTATAGCATATTTGTATTCCATTTTTAAATTAACTAAAATCGTGTAGTATGTTTAAAGATTTCATAAAAAAAATTGATATTTTTAGTCGCCGAAATTGGTCACATTTTTGAGTTGCCTGTATATTCTTTTATCTTTTTCAAAATTAAATCCATCGTTCTTGTTTCCACGTTATCTGTCAGTTTTTTTGTTCAATCATCTGTTTAGATATAGATTTTCACAAAAATCGAAAGACACAATTTGGGCTGGAAATTTTTATGTATTTTTAAAAATTTTAGAGACGAAGATGCTGAACCAGGGGCACCATCAATGGGAGCAAAATCACTCTGCATTCCTTTAGAACAACCAGCGGAAATAAAACCCAATGATAAATGTATCCATCCAGCCTGTAAGAAAACTCCAAAATTCTATACATTATTTGGAAGAAGCTATTAAAGTAATGTCTAATTACAATTCAACGTTTAATTTATTATAAAGTTTATATATGAAATAAAATTCGAGACTTAAGACTTAACGCTGTTTATTTTTATTTTAACTGAAAATAATTACATTTAAATACTTACAAACTAAGACGCAACAGTTTCTTCTTAAATATATTAAAATTTTATTTTAAGTCTTAAAAAGGTCGATCATTTTGAAGATTACAGTTACACTCTAAAAAATTAATAAATTGGCCACAAACATATCCACTGATGGAAGAGTTTCAGATTTAAACTTAGGGACGTAACTAAGGCGTTTTTTTAAAATATTGCAAATAGCATAAATTAAAAACAACATTTAAATTATCTGTCATCCCCAAAATTGATCACTTTTCGAATACGCTCAATTCTGTTTTCGGTCAGGGTCGGCTTCAGCATCTGTTGAGCTCTGGTTTTTTCCCAACTCTCAATTGTGTTGACTCTGTCTTGAAGAATACCATCTTTTACAGCAGGAGTAATCTAAAATAATAATTATTGTATATATGTTACTGGTAAAACGCGAAATTAGTTAATTCGCGAATTATCCGGTTAAAATGTGAATTAACCAACGCAGTCGGTTAATGCTTAAAGAAACAAATATATTTTAAAAATGTTCGCAAATTATCCAGTTAGAACGCGAATTATGCAATATGATTGGTTATATCTGCTAACACTTGGGTATTTCGCGAATTAGCCAGATAATATTGTGTTAAGTGAGCAATTAATATCAAATTCATAGTATGGAAGTATGGAGTGTAGAGGTAAGGAGAAATATCTTCGTGCATTAAAAAATGGTAAAAAGACTTAAGATGGCGCTGCTGTAGTAAAAACCTAAATTTAAAATATGCGCAGAATATTTTTAAGAACAGGAAACGATTGATTCAAAAGATAAATATTTGACGTGAAGTTTCAAAAAAATACAAATTTTATTTTCATGGCACATGAAATAAATTATCGATTTTTATTCATCAGCATTGGCATCATAGCCAGTTTTAGTATGTCCTATTGATCACAAAAAATTAACATTTTTGCTATATCCACAATGAAGTTACAGAGGTGTCAGTACAGCAAATTGCTTTAAGAAATGGGTGGTACAGCTTGGCAGGAGTACTGCCATACTCCAGATATCCATTTGTAATTCATAATAAAAAATGTTATATACCTTCTTTTTCATATTGTTGTACTCTTCCGGCGCGACATAGCCTTGAGGCTTGCTGACTCTAGGCCTACTTTTCAAATACTCAGCAATGATTTCGTCAGCAGACTTGCCCTTGATAACAGACAAAATATGGTACTTTGCGATCCTGTTCATTCTTTCAGTGGTACCACCTTCCAGCTTAGCACCTACAGCCATACTAGCAGCGACTTGATGTGTGAAAAAGTATCGAACCACACGACCAAGAACAGCTGCAAAGATTTTCCATTGAGGATGATCTTTTGTGATATTATTTAATTGCAAAGCGCCATAAACTGCCCACTGCAGCTTCTAAAATATAAAAAAAAATTAAAAACTTCAAATAATCATTAATTTTATAATATTACCTTCTTGTGAGTATCTGTGAGTTCATAGTTAGATTGGCTTCGAGTCAATGATGCATTTAATTCACTCTGAGGCTTAAAAAATGATCTACTACCACTAGACACTGCTCTAATATCCATAGAAACACTTCTAGGAAACTTTGCTGGTGGTACATCATCTGATTCACTCCTTTTTCTTTTTTTCTCCATTCCCATTTGTTTAAACGGGGATTTTTTACCTTTTAATGGTGAACTCTTTTTAGGAGATGAAAACAGTACCCTTCTAAGTTTAGATTTTTCAGTAGAGTTCAATACACCTTGAGGGTAATCTGAAAATAATTCAATAATAATTAATATAATGTCTAAATTAAACAAATGAGGTGTTTTACATACTGGTTGTAAGACTAGAATTTCTATCACGATTTGGACTTTGAAACAGAGCTCTTTTCGAACTCATTGTGTTGCCTTTGTTATTTTCACTTGAAGTTGTTTTAGAAAAAGTAAATGATGTTTCGGAAGTGCTAGGAACTGATGTCTCAAATTCTCCAGTCAGCTTACGGAATTTCATTGCCAACTTCTTCTTGGCAGAACTACTTGGAGTTCGTGCCTTGGTTTTAGGACTCTTTCTTGGAGTCTTTTTAGGAGTCTTCCTAGGGCTCTTTCTTGGACTTTTGCGACGATTGAGTAACTCCATTTGCCTAGCATCTACTAATATTTGACGTGCCCTTGATCCTGCTAATCTTGAGCCTCCGGTCTGCAAATTTGCACTTGAAAAAGTAATTCTTCTGCGAGCCAAATGACTCAGTCTTCGTCCTGGAGATTTACCACCCCATCGGGGTTTAGTCATTTTTCTCTTTGTAGGACTGGACACTTGTAACTCAAAAACTGTGCAAGTGGACTGAGTTTCTGCACCGACAAATCTTTTTTGATATTTTTCACACATACTTTCAATCTCTTCTGATACTCTACTTCGATTGTGACTGAAAATAAAAAATAAAATACATATAATAGAAAACACTAAAGATTACAAAACTTACTGTAGTCCATGATATCTATACTTAAGTAGCTGAGTGAATTCAGCATTATCTAAATTTGTACTGGACTCTATATTGAGTAATAAGGATTTAGAGCAACTTCTGCTATCACTACTTGAATTCAAAGACGATTCGTTATTTTCACAATCAACTTTCTCTATTATTACATCACTATTCCAGAAATAATCTTTGTTTGCCTGTATCCTTTCCAACATCTCTGCTGATGACATGTTGATTATTGTTACACTTGGAGGAGGCAATACCCCACTCATTCCTTTTTGAACTCTCTTTAATAGTTTATGGTCCAGTTTATCAACATAAATTTCTTCATTTTTGGTTTGTGTTGAAAGTTTGCATTGCTCAAGAGTTTGGGTTTCAAAGTAATTTGTTGTGTTATTCACTGCCACTTCTTCATCGCCAAAAATATCAGGGCTTATGGTTGCACTAAGAGGTACATCAAACTTTTTCTCTGGTGTTATACTAGGATATTTTCTCTTGCACTCATAGTGATTTTCATTTTTTGATTTAGAAAATACTAAAGTAAGCTTCTTCTTATCTTTTGAATCCATTAATTTGTCTACATTAGATACTGATTTAGCAGATGAACAAGGTCCTTGTGTTTTTCCAGAGATTAATGGAAATCCTTTTAATGGAGTCATATTGTTGATACTATCAGCTGATGCTGTATTATACTTTTCAATAAGAACAGGATTATAAGTAGTGCATCCCAATGTGGTATCAGTCTTACTATATTGATTTGCACTACAACTATCCATTTGGCTTAGATCTTGACATTTTACTACTATGGGATCTTGTAACGGAATCTCCACAGACGGCTCAGAATTTGATTCTATTCCACTGTACCGATTGGTAGAATCTTCGCTTTTTACAGAGCTCTCAAGAAAACTTTCTGGAGAGTAAAGGCGATGAGCTCCCTCATTATTGAGAAAGTTTTTAGGCTTATCCAAATTTATAAATACCTCAGGCTTTTCCAGCAAGGCGTCTTCGTTTAAATAGAAATTATCTGGTTCGTCATAAACTCTTGTATGATCCTTAAACGAATCGTGGGTAATGCAATTTTCTGATCCCTCAATGTATCCAGAATCGTGATCCATCATTAAAAGCAGGTTCGTTGCATCCTTAAAATGTTTTCCGAACTCCAATTCCATGCTCCAACTTGTAAAGAATTAAATAAGAAAATTGGCAGTTTCTTCGAATCCTGTACGCCAACCACCCCCGTTTTGGCGGTACAAAGTTTCCAAATGTATATTCATTCAATGTTAAATTTCAACATTAATTGATTAAATGAACGTGAAAAACTAAGCTAGAAAGTTTCTAAACTAACTATTTAAATTATATCTACAATTTATTTAAAACGACCGTTAACTATTTTCTTCGTGTACACACTTTTTATCACATCACATCCACTGTCACTGTCAAAGTCAAAAGGATCAACTGTCAAATAAATATGTCACACGTTTTTTAGATATGAAATATATGTCTTTGATCATATATAATTTGTTCTTTTTAATAACGTGAATATAGATCATATTCGTCATATTCTCGCCCTGTGAATAAATTAATTTATAACATGACAAGAATCCATATCCTATGTTTATTATTTAATTTTAGATTAAACATTTTATGGAGAGGGGAGAGGAGTATCAATAATTTTGAATGGTAAATTAAGTTTTTAATTCATGTTTAATTTTAACTTTTATAAGCTTATTTCTTATTGTTCCATTAATAACAGAAATCTAATTTAAAAAATAAAATTTGTATTCTCCAGAAATCATAAAAAAGAAGGAAAACTAAGGATTATTTGAATGTAAGAAACTTTTTTAAATATACCAATAAAGATATAGCGGTATACCAATATACCATTTAAAAATATATAATGTAAAATAAACCTAACTTTCAGTCTACTGAAAAAAAAACACTGATGTGTGTAATAACAAATAAGTGTTAGATATACCTACTTAATGCGTAAAATAACAAAGCACACTATTTTTATATAATCACATTTTTTAAAAATATATTGATAAGATTAGCTATGGAAGACTATCATCTAGTTCTAAACAACGAGCAACGTGGTTTTCAACTGCTTGCAATGTAGTAAATCCAAAAGAACATTTCGGACATCTGTAAACATGCTTCTATAAAAGAAAATAAAAAAGTTAACTCTCATCATAGCAAAATATAGAAAGATAATTTTCTTTAGATATTAAATATTTTGATGAAACACAAACAAGTAAAAACACAGAATCACAATAGAAACAAATTATAATTTAATTTTTGCAGCTGAATAAAATTTTACCAAAACGTAATAAATATTTTTGTACAAATATTTTCAATTAAGTTAGACAAATAAATGAGTTGAAAATAATGCATCACAAATACATAACAGTACAAATTTTCATGTAAATATTAACTGTCGAGAGAAATATTAATTTAATTAAATTAAAAAGATATCCTATGTATAGCAACACACCTGCCAAATATAAAGATAATTATAACAAAAAGCATTTATCCCTACCATAGATCATGACAGATGCAAGTTTCTAAATGATCCTGAACAAGTTTTAATGATCTGAAGCGTAGGTTACAAATAGGACATGTATATCTGGACAGCGGAGGAGACTATATAAAAGAAAAAAAATTGTATGTAATCCTATTCAGACTATTTATTATACTTCTGTATCATATACTTTTGTGGATTCTATTATGCATACTTATATTGACATTAGCATAACTAGAGATTCATTCTGGGGATATCATAATTGTTAGTTAATAGCTTTATCCATCAAAGTATATACGTATACCGATTTGGTCATTTTCGAAGTGTGGTCTGGATTTTAACGTGCAAGACAGTGATGTAGGCAGCTTAATGGAAAATCAAATGTATTAAATATTAAATAGAGATAAAAGTTTGGTTGATACATTTCTTCTATGCGGTATTGCTGGATTTTGCATCGAAAGTTCAAACCGCACAAGTAGGCGTTTATGGAAAAAGTTGCAACTAGGGTTAGAACTTTGTTTTTCACAATTAGTTACTCATTTTACAACAGATGTAATAGATTATATTGAGCTTATATGTATCATCTTCATTTCAGTAGTATACATGAAGTTTTTAAAATAGTTTTTTTTTCTATACAAATTTTCCTACAACAAACGTAAAAACCGGCAATACTGTATATCCATATCCTCCTTTTGATTTTGTCTCTCTGTCTGTCAACCAGTCATTTATATAATTCTCTCTCTTACACGTTAAAATCCAGATCACACTTTTAAAAAGACCAAATCGGTATATCATATTGGTAACTTTATTTCTCTGGTCTGTATTTACAAACATATGACAGAGATAAATATATATGACCAGTTGGCAGCCAGAGACAAAATAAAAGGGGCATACAGTGTTGCCCGTTCCTAAACTATTTAAAAAAACTTTCATGAACACTTTAGTTTTTTTAACAGTTACGTCTATTAATCATCTATTTAAACCATCGACGTTCTGTTATAATGACATTACGAGTATAAATGAAGTCAAACTTCAAACTAACAAGTACTACCTGATAAAAATTATTACTTAGAGACAAAACACAAAAGCTTCAAACTTTCTGTATAAATGGGATTAGTTTTAGTTTGTTTCTAATTTTTAATATTATATAAAATCTACTCTGTGCCGTGTGTCCCATGAATGCTGTCAAATCTTGGATTTGCAAAAATCGCACTTTTTAATTTTAAATAATCTTTATGTTTGAATTCAAACATTTCAGTCTAAAGTCCATGTTTCACCAACATAAAATTTATCACATGCATATGGTATTTTGTATATTATACATTTTCTTTTGGTTGTTCATTGTTCACGTTTTTTTTGTTTTATTAGGAAAATACCACTATCAAATTGGTCTCCTTTGGATCAACGCTCAGTGGTGTTTACAAAAAATAACTTTTTTACTACTTATGGCGAAGAATACAGAAGTCTTTTTAACAAATGAACCTGCCACAAAGGTAGACATTAATTAAAATGTCTCCAACCACTCTTTTAAATTCCATAGAAATATATATTAGTTTGTTCAGATTAGTCCATAAATAGTGCTAGTAATTTTATTTGAAGGGTCCAGGGGAAAAACTTGATAAGCGCCAATTTTGTTAATTTTAGGATTTTACTATGTTATAATAGGTCTAACTGGTCCCTACAAAATGTATAAACTCTGCAGGACAATAAGTTATTAAATCCTATGATATATGCCTAGTTTTCTAGTAAATATCTAGAATACACGGAAAGAATCTAACAACCACCAGCTGTGTAGTAGCTCCTGTAAAATTAATAAAATGACGCTTATTATGATTTTCCCCTGGGCCCTTCATTTTAAGGTGTAAAGCTTGGTTCTAAAACTGCACAGTGTTGAGGGGTACATGTAATACAAGCAATAAAATGTGTAGTAAATTCAAACAGTTATTTTGACATTAGTTACTAAACAAAACAAAGAAAGCGTTAACAAATATGACTGTTTTTGTAGTTTCGCCAGCGACATAGCGAAGTTCTGAGACTCAAGGCATAATAAGAATCTATCACAGATGTATTAAAATGAGTAATTGTGGAAATTAAAGATCCAATCCTAGATCAACATTTATTATAAATGCCTACTTGTACAGTTTGAAATGTTGATGCAAAATCTGACATACTGCATAGAAGAAATGCATCAACCTAACTTTTTTCTTTTTTTAAAACAATTTATTTTTCATTAAGCCGTCTCCATCACTGTCCTGCACGTTAAAATTCAGACCACGGGTTTATGGTGACCAAATTCATATAGGTGACGTAGTGTTTTTCAAAAAGCTACATAATTATCAGGCTACCTTTTTAAGATTTTCGCACCAATATTTTCTTTGTGAAATACGCAACTATAAGAGCTTTTACAGAACACTGTGTCATCTTGTATGATCTATGATTATACTTACATCAGAACCACTGTTACTTCTTGCCTCTTCTCCTCTACGTGTTGTCGACACAGGATGGAATTGATTAACTTGTTCTCTGTACAATTCAATTTCTTCCTGCATTTGTATGTTCCTTCTGTGCAAGTTCTGTAGGTCTTCAGACAATTTCAATTTCTCTCTTTTTATATCCTCCTTCGCCTCTCTTTCAGCTTCAAAATCACTTTTATACACTTCCAGTTGAGCTTTTAAGGCATAGAGTGTGTCTTCCTCTTCTTGTTTAGTTAGGAGCTTTTGTGAAAATTCATAATTTTCTGTTTGTAACTTGTTACTCTGAGCCTGGAGTTGGACCTTGGCCTGATTACATTCAGTGTAAGCTTTTTGGGCTTGCATCAATTGTTGACGCAAGTTTGCTACTTGTTCATTGTCTACTCCACTCTGTTGCTGTTTATACTGTGATTTGAGTTGTAAAACCACACCTTGTAATTCCAAATTTTTGTCTGATAACTGTTGTTTCAAACTGCACAGTTCATTCTGTTTCTGTAATTTTAAATAAATTATTCAATAAATTTATGTAGGAATATAAAATCTAAGTAGTATATTAATATAATGTGCCCAAGCAAATGACCAGCACACATCACATATATAAATAAAAAAGTATATTTTAAGACAGTAATGCAGAAATATCTATTCAGAAATCATAACCTAATATTTAAAAAAAAATTCTAAAAACTATACAGGGTGGTTCGAACTGTATTCCGGAAACTTCGACAGCATATTCTGCAGATAAAAATAAGTAATAATGTTCATATAAATGTATGTTAAATACTTAGTTTCAGAGATACAGAGTGTAGAAGTTTCATTTTATTTCGATTTTTTCCAAATAATTTCTGAAGTAATGTCAATATTTAGATGAAAATTGGTGACTAGGAGTTTTTTTGACATGCGAAATTTGATTTTGTTGTCAATATGATTCCTACTAGTAGAGGGCGGCACCTACATGTGTTATAACTGTTTTGAAGCGTAATAACTTTTTGTCCGTACCTGTATAAAACTACCGAGGGAAAAAATATACATCTCTGTGACTTCTTAGGTAAAAAATATCTCTTTGTAAAAATTGCTACGACCAACCGTTCTCAAAATATTTAGAATGGAAATAGTTAATACATGTCATTATTGACGAAAAATAAACACATTGAGAGTAGATAGTTATTTCACTGAAATAATAAATTTGGGAAATTTTTATTTTTTTAAATTAATCATAATTTTTTTTACAAAAAAATAATGATAAAACAGTTTCTGTTGAACTTTTGGCACAAAAACATTTCAAATTTGATTTCAGTCTAATAACTATTTAGTCAACATGCTTAATTTGTGTCAATGATGACAGGTATTGATAATTTCGAATCCAAATATCTCGAAAATCCTTACTAGTAGCGATTTTTACCAAGAGACCTTTTTTACGTAAAAAACGTCGTAAATGTATATTTTTTTATTCAGTAGTTTTATACAGGTACGGACGAAAAGTTAAAGTTATTACTTTTCAAACTAGTTAAAAAATATGTAGGTGGCGCCCTCTACTAGTAGGAGTCATATTGACATCAAAATCAAATTTCTCATGTCAAAAAACTCCTAGACACCAATTTTCATCCAAATATTGTCGTTACTTCAGAAATTATTTGGAAAAAATAAAAATAAAAATGAAACTTCTACACCCTGTATCTCCGAAACTAAGCATTTTAGGACATACATTTATACAAACTTTTTACTTATTTCTATCTGCAGAATATGCTGCCGAAGTTTCCGGAATACAGTTCGGACCACCCTGAATAAAAACCTTAAACTTTTTTACTTTTTTGATGATGATATTACGTCTATACATGGACAATACATACCAAAAAATAGTTACTTACATCATCAATAACCTTAGTTAATGCACAAATACTTTCAGACAAGGCTTTTTTATCTGCCATAATAACATCACATCTGTTGTTTGCTTCTTTTAGATGATTTTCATTAATCTCTCTATGTTGTTCCAACTCAGTAATTTTGTATTTGGCCTGTTCTAATTCATAAGAAAGTCTAGAAGCTGTGTCAGAATGCTGCAAACTTTTTGCTAGCTGAGTTTGGAGAGATACTATCTCTTTCTGTGACTTCTCTTCCAATACCTTTAAAGAGCCTAAGGATGCTAGTTCAAGATTTTTGTTTGCCTTTAATTCTTTAATAGTTTTGTAAGCATCTTCAAGCGCTTCTTCATAGTTTGCTAGTTTCTGTTCCACCAAAGTTTGTTTCCCTACTTCAATGTTTATTGCTTCAGCATTTTTGAGAGTTACATTCTCTATTACTTCTTTTAGTTCTTTTATTTCATTTTTAGCTTTGTCCAGCTCTATCTTATCAACATTTTCTCCATTATTTTGAACTAGTTGTTGATTTTCCCTTAGGGCTTCCTTAAGGTTCTCAACTTCTAATTGAAGCGAAGCATTTTCCTTCTTTAACTAAGTAAATATAAAGTTAAACAACCAGTGAAAGAAAATTTAAGAGAACTTACTGTTTCAATGCATTCCTTCGCTTTCATAAATTTTTCTTTATGAGTTTGATGAACTTTCTCTACTTCACTTTGCCATGCAACAATTCTCTCATACTGTGCCTTCATGCTGTTGTTGTTCTGAATAATTGTATCTAAAATAAATATTAACTGAGAAAATTATATTGCACTAAAGGCATATTACTGAACCTTTTAAGTTTACGTTTTCTTCAATGAGCTGAGAAACTTTATTCTGAAGTTCTTCTGATTGAAATTCATTTGGAGCAAAGCTGATAATGCTTATTGCCTTATTTGTTTCCTAAATATGAATATTGAGGGATTAAAATCTACCAAATTGATTTGATTTACTTACGTCAGCAACTGCTAAATGTGAAGGCATGGTAGGCAAAGCTGTTGAATGATAGTTTTTATCTTCAAAGTTTGCTGTGTGGAATTTGCATTGGCTTGTTTCAAGATCAACTTTATTATCACTAACAGATGGTTGCTTTTCATTTACTCCATTCGCAAAAAGAGGGTTCCCTTGATGACCATTTTTAAGCTCTTGTTCCTTTACTTGGAGTGATATTTTTTCCAATTCTTCTTTTAACAATTGTTTTGCTTCTAAAATTATGCTGGTGCCTAAAAAAAATAATTCAGTACAGAAAGACAATAGCAAAAACACATTAACGATTTACCAGAATCTTCCTCATATAACAATCCTTCGAGAGATTTCCCCAATATAACAAATGATTCTTCATCAGAATTTAAAGTGGGCACCGGTTTAGGCTCAGGTGGTATGTTAAAAATGGTAGTTCCTATGTTACTGGTAGCCATGTTTCTGAAGATTAATAAAAAAATTTTGAAATCTAAATTATTAATTATAATATATTAAACAAAAACAAATCGCTAAGCATAATAATTGAAAGATGTGCACAGTACACTACTTGTTTATTCATCTACTAGCATGTACCCGCAGCTTCGTTCGCGTCGAATTAATCATTTGTAATGGTGATGATAAAGCAAAGCAAGAATTTCCATCAACATACAAACTAGATAAAATTTTCTCACATTTATGTCAGCATGAGAAAAAACAATATGGCGATATTATATAATTTGGTAATATTTGAGGTAATTTCATCTCGTTGGAATTTCATTTCTTTCGAAAAAGCCGTTTGCCAAAAATAAGCTTTTTACGTCAAGCAGTTTAAGTAGAATCGCGGTTAATCAATTACCCGACTTTTTGGAACACCCTGTATGATTTTTTAAACAAATTCAAAATATGTAAAAAAACAAAATAAATTTTGCGTGTCCAAGCGTTTTCCCGAAAGACTAACCGTTTTATAAATAACAAATATGGTAATATTTGAGGGGCGTTTTCACCCTCTTGGAATTTGAGATTCGAGAAACCCCTCCTTATCGAACCTCTACACCCCACAGTCAATTGCCGTCCTCCTTTCACGAAGTTGAGCAGCTCTGAACTGTTAAAGCACCCGATACTCTCACTCCATTCAATTGAGTCATAAAGTACCAGAACTGTTCCGCGCCATATGGCGGCACGAGGCTATCGCGCACAGCTCCTTTCAGAACCGTTCTCGAGTAGCCCCAGGGCGTAAAGCCCAGAACTCGAAGTTCGCGAATGGAGGACAGCAAATCCGTTTGCCAAAAATCAGCTTTAAACGTCAAGCAGTTTAAGCAGAATCGTGATTACTCAATGGTCATATTTTATGAAACACAGTGTAAAATTTTTTAAAAAATCTTAAAATATGTAAAGCAACAAAATAAAATATACCTACCTACGGGTTTAAGAGTTTTTCCGAAAAACACACCGGTTTTCAAATAAAAAATATTCTAATATTTGAGGGGTGGTTTCACCCCCTTAGAATTCGAGTTTCGAAAAATCCCTTCTTATTGAACCTCTACACCCTAAAGTCAATCCGTTTTCCAAAAATCAGCTTTCTACGTCAAGCGCTTTAAGCAGGATCGTGATTAATCAATGACCAGATTTTTCGAAACATCCTGTATATATTTTTAAAAAATCTTAAATTATGTAAAAAAACAAAATATACATGTTTAAGCGTTTTTTCGGAAACTTGACCGTTTTTTAAATAGAAAATATTGTAATATTTAAGGGGTGGTTTGTAACCACCCCCTTGGAACTGGAATTTCGAAAAATCCCTTCTTATCGAACCTCTACACCCTAGAATCAACCTGTATGCCAAAATTATGATGCTTCTTATGTTGAGTGGTTTGAGCAGGATCGTGATTAATCAGTGAGTCAGTCACTTAAAGATTTTATATATTAGCACAGAACAGATATATTAGTATAGATGAAGGTTTGTTTTAATCTTCTGGTGAGGACTAATTATCTCCTTATCACTAATTCAAAAAAAGGATCTTGATATCTAATTTATTATAAGAAAAAACATAAGGTTGTGGCCCAACATAGCTGGACGCGTAGAGCATAGCGTACAATAGCAAAATACATTTCAATTTGTATGAATATGTAGGGCCACTTCGGTGTACTTTAATGCATTTACACGCTTCGCGGTCCTCTCCGCGCTACCCTACACTGTGCGCCTCATGTGGGGCCACGCACTAAGGCAGCTACATATGTAGGTAATACTACAATCAAAACAACTATTAGGGTTAATTTTCTTAATCAGGGTTATAAATCTTACCCGGATAACGAAACGTACGACGTACATCCACAATATTTATTAAAAGTGCAATACAATATAAATTGTACGCTTCTGTGATTGTATGTTTTTACAACTATAAACTTACCTAATTATAAATTTGTAGATTATTCAGTTAGGTATATAGAGATAATTAATACAAATAAAATAAAACGTTTAATTCCCAGCAGACACTTATTTACAAAAATACTATTTGATAATAATTTATGGATATATTTATCAGATAGTGATAAAACCTATTGTTATTTTGAACAATGTTAACGCTTTAGACAGATGATCTGGTTTAGACGAAATAAAACGTTTTCAAAATACTCATTAACAATATATACTGCATTAAAAATACCGGTAATGGGCCAATAAGTGACATAAAATTTAATAATTATTGCATTAGAACATCAATTACACTTGATTCACTTGATTACTTACATAAAATACTTAAAACAGCAAACCAAACTACACCTAAAAGGGCATTTGAAATTTATGTCGTTTAGCGTTTAGCTGTCTCTTTCAAACACACGAAAATTTTATATCTCATTTCTCTATTCAGCAGACGTGAAGTGAGTGGAATATTTAGGGGAATCACCGAGTTCCAGACACACAAAAGGCTACCAATTTACCAATATGAAAAGTATACTGGCGTTTGGAAATCCACTTTTAGATCTAACAATTTCTTCACAGAATTACGTAAGAAAGTTAGTGGAAAAATATAATCTCCAAAAAGACGGACAAAAAGAAATTAGCCAAGATGAAATGCGCCTTTTAAGTAAGGATATTCAAGGGTAAAGACAGATATGTTTAGTCTTATATTACTTTCTACATTAACTTTTTGTTAGCTACGAGACGCACTTGTCTGCGGGAGGATGTTGCCAAAATTCTCTGAGAGTTTTGCAATGGATTTTACATGGAAAATGTCAAGCATCAATATTCGGTTCTGTAGGCAATGACACAGAGGCAAAATTGTTACAAAATTTCTTGCAATCGGATGGATTGCAAACCAGGTGAGCCCAAACTTAAATAATTTAATACGAATTAATTATATTGGCAACATTTTCATCTAGATATGTGGAACAACCAGCCCTACCAACAGGAAAAACAATAGCGTTAGTGGATGGGATTTACAGGTCTCTTGTAGCTCATATTGGGGCTGCAGAGGTTTTTCCTTTACAGACTTTAGTACAGTACAAAAATTTCAATTCTATTTTTGATTCAAGCGACATTATATTCCTGGAAGCATATTTTCTAACAAACCGCTTTGAAACTGCAAAATATGTAGTTGATCTGGCCAAAAAGAAATGTAAAATTGTAGCCTTTAATTTAGGTGGAGAATATATCTTTGAAGTGATTCCTGAAGAGATCAAATATATGGTTAAGCATTCAGACATATTGTTTGGGAACTGTTATGAATTTGATGCTCTAAAGGTGTTGCTAAATTATTCTTCAAGAGAATCTATGGCTGCAGATCTTTTACAACAAGAAAAACTAAACACACAGTACAGTAAAACTTTAATAATAACAAACGGAGATCAACCTGTTACATGCTTTTATGAAACAGAAAAAATAGAATTTCTACCTCCTCTAATGAAAGAATCAGATATTAAAGACACCGTAGGTGCTGGGGATGCTTTTATAGGAGGATATTTGGCTGGTTTATGCACTTCAAAAACTTTACAACAATGTACCAGAATAGCATTTTACGCCGCCTCAAATATATTAAAACAACATGGATGCACAATACCTAAATATAAATCTACAATACTTACATCTAACGATTTTTCATTCGCTTCAGAGTTACAATAAGTTGATTAGAGATTGTAATAAATGGCACTATTTCAAACTCAGTAATTTACTTTCCTATATAAATACAAAATTAGTCATCCAACAATAATTTTAAATATACGCAAGTCAACAATCAGCAAAAACCATAATAAAAAGGTCATAGTTCATTTTTCATTTGTCAGCAGGTACCTTGGTATAGAATAAATAAATAATGACAGGAATGGATATTTAGATCGAGAATATCTTGAAGGTTATTAGTATTTATCGATATTTAACTCATTCCTAAATTTTGACATTTATTTCTTCTTCCACTTTTAAAAAAGAGAATTCAAAGGTTGTACCCTTGGGTTGTACCATGGTTGTACCCTTAGATTAACAATAAAAAGTTGTACGGTTGTACGTTGTACCTATGTTGTATGTTGTTTTTATTTATAAGAAATTCAAGATGAATTTAACTTTAAATTTTATAAGACATACTTTAAGGAAACACATAATAAGTTATTATTCATACAGTACAAAATTATTGCCAAAAAATGAAAACATTAAGAAGATTCGTAACATTGGAATTAGTGCTCACATCGATGCAGGTTTTGATTCTACGATCTGTTTACGATCTAATTTTGTGTCCTTAATTATGAAACTTAATAGGAAAGACTACAACTACGGAAAGAATGCTTTACTATTCGGGATTGATTGAACACATGGGAGAGGTTCATGATGGGAATACAGTTACTGATTATATGGATCAAGAAAGAGAAAGAGGTATTACAATTACATCCGCAGCAGTAACTTTCTTCTGGAAGAATCATCAGTTTAACCTTATCGATACACCAGGACACATAGATTTTACAATGGAAGTCGAGCAAACATTAAATGTTTTAGATGGAGTAATTGTTATTTTAGATGGATCTGCAGGTACCAGGTGAAATTTATTTTCTGATCAACAATCAACAAATCAACAGTTAGGTATTTGTGTTCATATTGATAAACTTTTAGGCGTTGAGGCCCAAACATTAACTGTATGGAGACAAGCATGTAGGTACAATCTACCATGTATTATATATTTAAATAAAATGGATAGAAGTGATGCTGATATTCATATGTGCTGCTCTTCTATATTAAAAAAATTAGGAGTTATACCAATTTTACTACAATTACCTGTAGTGGAAAATCATAAATTTGTTGGTAAAAATATTTTTTTTGTACAGGCAGTCTAATTTTTAGAAGTATATAGGTATTGTAGATGTTGTAACGTCAGAATTAATTAAATATGGACAGGGAAAAAATAAAAATATGTTAAAAGAGCCATTAACAGAAAAAGAGTTTCCTAAATTATTTTCTGAAGCAAAAGAAGCACGAGTTAAAGCTATAGAAACCTTAGCAGATTTTGATGATGAATTAGCTAATACAGTAATCGCATCAGAATCTTTTGAGAATATTTCCAATGATGATATAATTATATCTTTAGTCAAAGTAACTAATCAAAAGGTGACCTTGTCTTAATAAACAAATTATCTATTTGAAAGATGTAATATATCAATTTTAGACTGCTGTGCCTGTATTGCTAGGTAGCTCTTATAAAAATATTGGTGTTCAGTCTTTAATGGATGCTGTGATATCATATTTACCATGGCCATTAAATTCTATAAGGGTATTTTCTCATTTTGATGATCATTTTTGTGGAAGAGCTTTTAAAGTAATACATGACAAGCAGAGAGGGCCGTTAGTGTTCTTGAGAATATACAATGGAGTTATTAAGAAAGGTCAGAAAATTTATAGTATTCAAAGGGATGTATCTGAACAGGTTGGAAGAGTTTATGTTGCATATGCTGATGATTTTACAGAAGTAGAGTTAGTGGAGAATGGTAATATTGCTGTAGTATCAGGTTTAAAGGTTAAATAAGTTTTATGCCCATCAAATAGTTAGTATATTCAGTATTTTTAGAAAATCATGTCAGGAGATCTAGTTGCAAGTTCACAAACAGCTTTTGAAAGAGCTAAAAAAAGCTTAATAAATGAATTACAGAAAAATAAAAAGATCATACCAGAAAATACAGATTCATTATTTGGAATTAGTGCTAAGATACCAGAACCTGTATTTTTCTGTTCAATTGAATCACCATCAATGTCAACACAATCAGCTTTGGATCAAGCTTTGTCTGAATTACAAAGGGAAGATCCTAGTTTAAGGGTTAGTTATAATGATGAAACTGGACAAACAGTTTTAGCTGGTAAGATTGATCTATTTTTTATTTAAATAAGTTGTATGTTTTAAATAACTTAAAGTAGTTTTGTAGGTATGGGCGAGCTTCATCTTGAGATAATCAGAGATAGAATTTTGAAAGAATATAAAATAGATGCTGACTTAGGACCTCTCCAAATATCCTACCGAGAAGCGTCATTAAACAAAGTTACAGATTCTTTGAAGGTTGAAACTAAAATTGGAAACACTAAGCATTCACTATTAATATCTATGTCTTTGCTACCAGATTTTAATCAGGATGACAGAAAAGAGTTATTACAGTTTGATAAAACTCCTGATAATGCTAGTAACCTGGCTGGAATATATCCAAAACATTTGGTAGCTATCAAAGAGGGATTGAAAATAGGATTAATGCATGGGCCAAAAATTAACAGCCAGGTATTTCCTTCATTTTTTTATTGTTTATTTGAACACTAATACTTTTTCTCTGAAATAAAGGTGATCAACACGGGTGTTATGCTACATTGGTTTGAAGCAGGCAGAGGTACATCAGAAACAATAATTTCAGCGGCTGCTAATCAGTTAACACAAAAGGTAAGAACTTTATATTTTAAACTTTATATTTTGTTGATATGCAACTAACATTGCACCGATTCCTAATCATTCTCCTTATTCCTTCTTTATTTGCTTGGTTTATTTCAACCTTAGAGCCCTGGGTACCTATTCTTGACATCATTTGCAACTTTTCATATACACATTACATATTATATTGATATATGGCTTTCCCGGCGATGTTAGTAACATTTAAAGATATGAGTGGTCAAGAATAGGTTGATGTCCTCGTAGTATGAGAGTTAGCAATGTCAAGTTATGCCCTCTGGAACATCGTGCGGGTCTGGCTGCGGTAAACGTTGCGTTCACTGCTGCGCATTGAAGGAATATTTTTTATTAATACTTTAAATTCTAGTATTGAATATAAACCGAGCGAGTCTCCCTAGCGCGGGGCGAAAATGTTCCGCCTGTGAAGCGAGGAGTCCGAGTTCGAGAGCGGCTCGGGGTATAAAACTTTTTTATTTTATTTCCGTTTATATTCTGATAGTAAAGTATTAAATAATACTGGTTTAAAAAAACAAATATTTAATACTTTACTATCTGAATATAAAGGAAAATAAAATAAAAAGTTCTATACCCCGAGTCGGACTCGAACTCAGACTCCTTGTTTCATAGGCGGAAACTCTGCGCTTTGGAGACTTGCTCGATTTATATTCAATACCCAAATTTCACGGATTAAATAAAAAAAATACAGGATCTTCTTCCGATGCGCAGTAGTGAACGCAACGTGTATCGGCAGCCAGACGGCCCGCATGCTGTTAAGAGATGTATGAAAGAGCCAGCTCTCTTAAAATACTTTCTCGAAAACGCTGCTAGTTCTTGGACTATCAGGACTCTGTTTAACTGCTATGGACACATTAATGGACCAATGAAACTAAATGTGTCTTGTACTAAAATCAAATTTGATAGCTGTTTGAAATTTGATATATGTACAAAATTCAAACAGCTGTCACATTTCAATTTAGTAGAACTCTCATTGGTTCTCTGTTTGCTTATTTGATAATAATTTTTTGAATAAGAATTGGTATTTTCAATATGGCGCCACTTCCGAAAATACCGGAAGTTGACAGCAGCTTTCTTGTTTTAAATGGGTGCCCCTATTTTTTGTTGCACGCTTTTTCGTTGCATTTCTGGTAATTCCCGTTCCAAACTAAAGCATTTTTTGGCTTCTGGAAAGCTCCTTTTATTATATCCGGGGTTTCCCACGTTGCTACCCAACCATACCTTTAGGGAGACACTGTAACAAAGATAATATAAAACAGTTGTTAAAAAATAAGTTGTTAAATCTTTATGCCGTGATTCACAATATGGAATTGAAACAAACCATGGCGTAGCAATGTGGTTTACAGTGACTAAAAACCTTAGACAAGGATGTTGCTTACGGCCCACGTTATAATGAACGTTAATGAAAATATTCAAACACTAGATGAGGCAATATTGGAAAGAAACAATCAAGACAGAAAAGCAGTTTCAATGCTTAATGGGATAAGAATATAATAGTAATTTAATACCATGGAAAAATTCCATTTTTCGAAAATTTCGAAAAAATTACTTGACACCCCCCTGTCGATTTTGTCAAAAACCGAAATCTCTCAGATCACAACTAAAATATTCCTACTGATAGTTCATTTTATGTAGAATTGACTGCCGCAAACCGTTTTCCGATATCTCTAACAGATTTCGAGTTATTTGAATAAATCTACGAAAGAAATATTTTTTTCTGTTTTCCGAAAGTTATAACACCAAATATCTCTGGAACAAAAAGTGTCAATCTTAAAAAAGACACGGTTCTGTAAAGTACACATTCAGCACTACAACATATTATCAAATAAGCAAAATCGATTTTCCAAAATTTTTCGAAAAAATTCCTCGATTCTGTCGATTTTGTCAAAAACCGAAATCTCTCAGATCGCAACTAAAATATTCCTGCTGATAGTTATTGTATTGTATTTGACTAAGAGTGGGTCCCAGGTGGGACCCTCCACTGCGGCCGCGAGGGCCTATTGTGGCTCACTTTCTACAAGCTCTTTAATAGTAAACGAGCAAAACCTGGTCCTGCCCCCAGCGGGGCAGGTACACATAACGTGCTTCATTGTTTCGTCATCTTCCATACAGAGTCGGCATTCGGCGTCTTCCACCAGGCAGTGGCCCATGTATACTGCAGTAAGCGTACGCGCTCCGTTCCTACCAGCCTTTAGGAGTTCATCTGTTCTACGTTTGGATGGCCCTGCTAGGGTTGTCTTGGCATGTTCCATTCCGGGACTGTCATACCAGTCCCGAAACGTCGCACCCCTAACCCATTCACAGAGCCTGTCTCTTGCGAGATTTTTTGGTACGCTAAGTGCCGGTTCTGGGCCCACAAATGGCGAGCCTGCGCCAGTTTTGGCGAGGGAATCAGCACGTTCATTTCCCTCTAGGCCGACATGTCCCGGTATCCATATTAGCGACACTTTGTTCTCATCTCCTAATATATTGAGTAGTTTCTTACAACGAAGAAATCGAAAGTCGGGTAGAGTTTCCATAGCTTTTGACGGCGTAGAATGAAAGGCGCCAGTCACCGCTAAGCATGCTTGTCGTTGTCATTTTGACAGTTTATTCTTTGCCGTTGTTTGGTTGGCTTTCTGCCACCAGGCAACTGCGCCATACGTGATAATAGGTCTGATGGCTGTCACGTATAGCTAGTACATATTTTTGGGGTTTAATCCCCAGTTTCTACCACAAATTCGGCGGCATACCCATAGAGCATAGCAAGCCTTTTTTGATATTTTTTCCAGATGGGAGTTCCAGCTAAGTTTTTTTCCAGGTTTAATCCTAGATACTTAACTTTCTCCGCAAACGGAATTGTCTCACCAAGAAGAGTGGGCGGTTTTAGTTTGTCTATTTTCCTTCTTCTGGTGAATGGTATGATCACGGTTTTCTGTGGGTTTATACTTAATTGTTCCAGTGTGCACCAGCCGTGAATTGCATCTAAGACTTCCTGTATTTTTGAGGAGATGTCCTCTTCTTTGTGTCCTTTTACTAGGATTACCAGGTCGTCCGCGTATGCTTGTGTGCTCAACCTCGTATGCATCGATGATTGCCATCAGGTCATCCACTAACAGGGTCCACAGAAGAGGAGAGATAATTCCTTCTTGCGGGCATCCCCTGCCCGAAACAAACCTGACGGACTCACCGCTGAGCGAGGTCGTTGCTATTCGATTTTTGAGCATTTGCTCAATCCATTCAGTTATGGGTGCTTCAACTCCTCGAGCTTTTACAGCGCCAAGGAGCGATTGAAGGGTAACATTGTTAAATGCTCCCTCAATGTCTAAGAATATCCCTACCGCAATTTCCTTGCGATCAAATGTACTCTTAATTTCCTCCACCAAATTGTTGAGGGCCAGTTCTGTTGATTTCCCCTGCTGATAGGCATATTGACGGACATTCAGGGGATTAGACGTAAGGATCCTACCCCTAATACGCCCATCCAATACCTTCTCCAGAGTTTTCAGCAGAAATTATGTAAGGCTTATTAGTCGATATGATCCAGGTTGTAGGTTTTGTTTCCCCACCTTCAGTATGTATACCACCTTTGCTCTCGTCCAATCCGTTGGCAGGTGTGACCATGCCAGACTTGCCCTAAAGATCCTTACTAAGCGAGGGGCGATAATTTTAACACCAAATATCTCTGGAACAAAAAGTGTCAAGTTAAAAAAGACACGGTTCTGTAAAGTACACGTTCAGCACTACGACATATTACCAAATAAGCAAAATCGATTTTCGAAAATTTTTCGAAAAAATTCCTCGATTCTGTCGATTTTGTCAAAAACCGAAATCTCTCAGATCGCAACTAAAATATTCCTGCTGATAGTTAGGATAAGAATGTAATGATAGGAAACAAAAAAAGATCGTAAGAAGCATAATTACCTACAGCTTGAAGCTTAACAAAGTTTAAAAGAACGCTGAAAGCCACGAAGATGGACATTTGGAGATGGAAAATCTTGGATTAAATTTAGAAGAAAACGAGGAAGACCACGCAAGAGCTGGAGAGGGGGTATTGATAAAGAGAGGTGCCCCGGTTATACCCCCCCCCCCTTACCACACCTTCCTATATCCTGGTCTGTTGGTATGCAGGAATAACAAATATTACATTTCTCATTTTTTCCAAAGAATATTTTTTGTGGCTTTACTTATATAAAGATAATTTTTCTAGGTGTATTTAAAAATTTCATTCTATAAAATTCTAGACATGTTTTTCTAGTATGGAAGCGAGTTTAATTGTTAAAATATGTTATTTCAAGGTGAAATTATACTTCAAAGCCGAAAATCTGACTCTTACTGTCGCTTCTGTATTTGTTGTTTTGTTCACAAATCAAATGAGATAATGAACTTCGTTAACATACCCTGTACATCTAGAATATATCTATATTTTTGTTTGTTCTGGTATTAATATATATGCTTTTTTAGTTGTTAAAAGAATCAGGATCATATATTCTCGAGCCAGTTGTGAATTTGGAAGTAGTAAGTCCATCAGAATATATCTCAGTTATTTTGTCAGATTTATCTCAAAGACGAGCTGCGATAAAAAATGTCGATGTGAGGGGCGATTCTAAGGTATTTTTGTTTAAATAATTTATTCTAGAGTTTGTAATAGTAATGTATAACTGATATAGGTGGTAATTGCGGTGGTTCCTTTGTCTGAGTTATTAGGATATTCGACAGATATAAGATCAATAAGTTCAGGGACTGCAACCTTTTCTACAGAATTTAAAAAATATCAGAGAATGTCACCTCTAGAGGAAGATAATGCAATAAGAAGTGTTAGAGGTTTTTAAATACGAACTAAAATGTCAGAAGTTTGTGTTTATTAAATAAGAATATTTGTTGTTTCAATTTGTTTTATTTCCTCTGCTTACACCACAATATTACCTAATTATAGAGAAGCGACAGGGGCGATATTTTCGTGGATCAAATTTTAAGTGAGAATATGTTTAGCCTATAGTTGCTGAGTTGTTATAGATTGTGCATCATGCATCCCCAATGTTGCGTATATTCAGTTGAAAATATGCATCTTGTAGTTTAACCCATACCTAAAACCTAACCAAACCCTAAGGATTAGTAACCTTCACATACAGGGTCCGGCAATAGTGCGTCGGGTATCTGTGCTCCTAAAATAAAAAACTTGGGAATTTTGTTTAAGTGCAGACCTAAAGTATGTACTAGGATGTATTTCAGGAAAATATTTTGACTTCTATAGAGTGGCTCAAAAAAGTGTGAGTGGATCGGGATGATTTTTTTTTAAATGGAACACCCTGTATATTATTGCATTTTTGGCTTCCTTTCAGGTCACTTTACATAATCCTAAGACATGAGTAAATATATTTCGATAATTTCAGACATATTAATAAATAAATAAAAATTATATATTTTTCAGCCTTTCTTAAAAAAATTATTAATAATACAAGAGCTGTTCTAAATTCAAAACTATATTCGGTATTTACTTTATATAGTCTGTACTTACTTTGCTATAAATATGGAAATCGTAAATCATACAGGATGTTTAAAATTCTATGCCAAACTTTCTAAAATATAAAATAATTTTTCTTTCTTTTTTTAAATGGAACACCCTGTATATTATTTTTTCAATAGATGGAAAATTAAAAAATGAACATTTTTTGCATTTAGAGTATTTCAAAATTTTTAACGGTTTCGCAGATATTCCCAGTTTTGTATTTCATATGGTATTTTCCACAGTAAATTTTTATCAAAGCCACCCAATGATTTTTCTCTCGTATTTTACCATTGAAAGCGCCATATAAAATAATACTGTGTGTATCCGGAAAACTATTAAAAATTTTGAAATACTTTAAATGCAAAAAATGTTCATTTTTTAATTCTCCATCAAATAAAAAAATAATATACAGGGTGTTCCATTTAAAAATACGAAGAAAAATTATTTTATATTTTTAAAAGTTTGGCATAAAATATTGAACATCCTGTATGATTTACGATTACCATATTTATAACAAAGTAAGAACAGACCATCTAAAGTAAATATCTAATATAGTTTTGATTTCAGAACAGTTCTTGTATTTTTAATATATTTTTTTAAGAAGGCTTGAAAAATATATATTTTTGATTTATTTTTTAATATCTCTGAAACTATCGAAATAGATTTCCTCATATCTTAGGATTATGTAAAGTGATCTGAAAAAAAACCAAAAATGCAATAATATACAGGGTGTTCCATTTAAAAAAAATCATCCCGATCCACTCACACTTTTTTGAGCCACCCTATAGAAGTTAAAATATTTTCTGGAAATACATCTTCATACATACTTTAGGTTTTCACTTAAACAAAATTCCCAAGTTTTTTATTCTAGAGGCTACAGATGCCCGACGCACTATTGCCGGACCCTGTATATCAGGTGGTGTCTAGTTGACTTGGAAATGACGATCGATGACATTCTCTATATAATTTTCTATATATAATGACAGCGATCTTCATTTCATAGCCACAAATGTCAAGGGACAACTTTTAGTCGGTTATTTATTTTTTTTTATTTTCATTTAAATCACTTAAAGCATCTGGAATTAATCATTATAATAAATCGAAAAAAAATATGACTATCAGAAAGAAAGCAAAACCAGCTATAAAAATTAATGTTACTTTTACGTGAGGAATCTCGCCACGAGGTCGCACATGTTTTTTGAAATACCCTGTATATTGAAATTATCGGACAATAAAAGATTACTTAAAAAGTAATTTATTTTATATATTTATTTATCCTTATACATATATAATCAAAACGTACAAAATGTTATTCTTACTAAAATTAATATCTATACCCTATTGTTATACCTCTAATATTCAGGGGTTTCTCCTATTAAAAATAATATACAGGGTCGCTGATATGTATGGGAACGGTCGATTATTAGGTAAACTATACGAGGTACCGCAAAAAGTTAAATATAATAGTATAGGGTTTCTAAATGTCTATTAGCGAGTAATAAATTTAGATATACACGGACGGTCATAAAGTCGCGGCACATCAAAGTTTTATTTTTTTAAATAGAGCCCTCTGTATATTATTGCATATTTCGGTTCTTCTTCAGTTCTACGCAAAAATTGAAATACACACAATATACCCCAAACCAACCGTTTCCGAGTTATTGATTTTTGAAAAAATATCACTTACCTAAACAATTCGATTGAATTAATTTTGATGTGTTTGGTTTCATTTAACGATGCCATTCTGCGAAAACTGTGATACTTGATAATATTTGACATTAGTCTTCAAGTTAGCATTTATAGATGTATAAAATGAGATTATGTCAAGTCTGGAAAATACAAAATTTTCGTTTAACATTACAAAATTAAAACTTGATAATTCGGAAATTGTTGAATTTAGCTGCATAATCGTAATACACATAAAATTATATTTGTATATTCGTCGTATATTTTACCTAAAAATCGACCGTTCCCATACATATCAGCGACTCTGTATAAACATACCGCAAACCTTTTCATATAACATGTTTCAAATTTACTTCTAGTATATATAATTACTTTTTTTGGAGACTTTTCTTGAGAATAAACTTAAGTTTTTTTATAATACTTTGTAAGAATTAAAAATAGTTTATACGCTTATGGAGATGTAGAATTAGAGACACTACTAATATCTATCTTATAATCTGAATTTCTAGAGGCTATATTATGTATGAAAGTACTATTGGTATTCTCACTTGATGATTCTGTTTCCTGATGGCTTGGCTGGACCTCGGAAATCACTCTGAAAAAAATATTACGAAAATTTGAATTGGTCCATTTTCGAGGTACCTTGCTTACTCTGGTGGAAAATACTGTTGTGGAAAATTCAGAAACGGATTTATGCTATAAGGATTATTCATTGCATAGTAAGGGTTAAAATAAGGCTGTGTGTCTAAGTTATTGTAAATTCCAAAAGATGTATCAGTGCCGTCCTGAAAAAGAAAAATAATAGACAATATTTATCTAATACTTACGAAAAATTGAATAGTAAAAAATTTTAATTAAAAAAAACCCTCTAAGGTTCTTGATTTTTGCCATGAGGTTTTTAGAATTTTAAAATTTTTCAATTACATTTCTGATGTACTGCTGATCGCAAGTTTTGCATGGTAAAGTTGATTGCATTCCACATGAAAAATAAGGCCAATTCAATCCATTCGTGCACATTGGACTTCCTTGGGGTACGGAAGAAATTTGCTGTCGACAGTCAACAACAGGTTCTAAAAATTCAATATTTTCTTAACATATTCGTGCCATATTTGTAGATATTACTTAAATTATTTGGAGTATTGCAATTTGGTCTTATCGGCTGTGGGATTGTGTTGAAAATACATATTGTACCGCACTGGCGCGATTTTGTATGAAAACATCTTAAAAATGGATACGTCTGAATGGGTATACATTGCCGTGGACCTAGTATAAAAAAAAACTAGATAATGATTTCACATAAAAAATAGAAATAAATCAAATTAAAAGATATTTACTGATTACTACACAACAGTTACTCCCGTCTATAGTGCCAGTACCATAACTGCTCACTACGTCACTGGATTTATTAAATCCTATATTATTCTTGTTAGTGTAATTCAAATTTATAGGTATATCTAGGTGATTTGTGTTGTTGATGACGTTCTTCAGACTGATGATGGTGGTGATATTACTTTTTGTAGAACTTCTGCTCTTGTCTGCATGATATAGTATATTTTCTGTTTCCATAGTATCGTAACATGACTTTCTGCAATCTGATTTGCATGCAAAAGTCTGACATTCGTAGTTGCATTGTTTGTGACAACAGTGGTTGCTGTGACATTTGACGAAATTGTTGCAGCAAGAGTTACAACAATTGTCACATCGACCTGAAAAAAATTGAAATATTTTTTAAAGCACTATTTATCGTCTTTTAATTAATTGTTATTATTGTAGACTATACAGGGTGCGTTTTTATGATGTTCTCTATGCAGTAGCGTTGCAAATTCTGCTCCCCCGCCCCCCCCCGTAAACTTTGTTAGCCTCCCCCCTAAGTATACTCAAAAATTCCTTCAAATACATCATTATTGTGATATCTGCTTGAAACATATTTTTTAACAAGAACCACGATGTGATATTTTTTTATATTTTGATAATTATTGTTTCAACATTTATTTATTTATTATTATAGTACTCTTAAAATACTTAAACTAGAAAACAAACATTTATGCTTCTAATTAATCAAAGTTTTGTTAAAAAAAAAACAACTCAACATTTTACTACTAATAATTAAAACACAAATGTGAACAAGAAGTTTTAAATATTTATGAAGTACCCTATGGTATATTAGAAAGTCTATTCCTATTTCCTCAACCTTAACAAAAGGAACTTGTTTACGAGGCTGTCAAAATCTACCTCTTTTGCTCGATCATTCTTAACTGATATTATGGCCAGTGAGCTTAGGTGATTTTGGGACATAGTAGAACTCGCAAAACTTTTTATTATTTTCAGCTTAGAAGAAGTTCTTTCTGTTCAGCTGATGTTACAGGGAGAACCAAAAATAACTGGAATACAGTGCAAATATCAGGTATACTGCAAATCAGTAATTGTTTTTTTTTCAAAAATAAAATCAGAAAACTTTCTGATACTGTGAAATTTTTGATTTTTTCATAAAGTAAATTTTTTGCTTGAATTAGCTCCCATGCTAGATTTTGTGTTAGGTCGTTAGAATATTTGTCTACTAATACTTTGGCATTAGCTAAGATATCAGATTCCTGGGATTTTAACAGTTTGTGGATTTAAAATTTCAAATTTTGAATAAATATTTTGATTCTAAACTGAGTTATTATTATATCCAAACAAGCATAAAAAACTGTGACTTTTAAACGACTTTTAGGATTTTCAATGGGCTCATCAGCTGCTATTTCATCAAAAAAAGTTTTGACTCTACGAACTCTTTTGTTTTTTAACTGAGGTTCAATATTTCAAGATTTCGCAATTGAAATTGATAGCTCATACACACTTTCAAAATTGTCCCTAAGATTTTCTATTTTAACAAGAACTCCTGATATTAGATCTGTGGCCAGTCCTATGTCAATATCATTTTTTTGTAAGCATTTTGAAAGCAAGTTAGTATTTTCCAATATTGTACCTTACCTAATTTAGTAACAAAATAAATTCGAAATTTTCTATTTTATCTTGTAACATCTTGGCCTCATTTCTATCAGTACGTTTTTTCAGTATTACAGCTACTATTTACAACTAAACCAAATTTCAAATTAACCGGTACAATAATTATTATCATTATACCTGTAGAGAATAATGTAGTGTAAAATAATTGTTTTATATCAGCCTAATTATTGCTGAAAAAAGGATTGTGTGCCTAAATGTAATTTCAGTTTTCGGTTTGTTTGATAATTGTTTTTGAAGGATGAAGGGGGCCCCCGCGCCACGCGAGGTCCGCGGGGGCGTTTGCCACGCGCCTGTCTCTATGGGTATCTCCAACAGCAGCAATGGAGGTCATTCTAGATCTAACACCATTGCACATTGTCATCGGTAGATATGCCAAGGCGACAATGATTAGAATCATCACTAACGGAATCAGTACTGGGAGAATTGTCAGATCAGGGGTCAAACCCAAAAACAACCCTCAAAAAGGAAATACCTCTCCTGCAACTCCCAGTGGATGATATGCCAAGAATGTACAACTTTGAGAAGCACCTCAATGTAGTATTGAGCAATAAAAAGGATTGGAAGAGAGAAACGTCTGCTCAGCAGTTAAAAGACCATACCATAACTTGGTATACTAATGCTTCCAAACCCAATGCGGGAACAGGTATTGGAGTATTTGGGCTGAGAACTAAATACTTCGAACCAATGTGCACCTACCCTAGGCAGAAATCTACGCTATCGAAAGATGCGTACAACTTATCTTAGCTACGAACTATCGGAAACAAGAAATAGCTACCTTATCTGATAGTCAAGCAACACTAAACGCAATCAACTCAGTAACCATCAATTCGAAGTTGGTCAAAGAATGCATAGAGAAGCTGAATAAATTAAGCAAAGAAAACAAAGTCCTCCTACTCTGGGTGCCTGCTCACCAAGGGATAGAAGGTAATGAAAAAGCAAATGATCTAACTAGAAAAGGAGCGAACACTCCACTAACTGGACCAGAACCGTTCTGCTTCCCCAGTGGCAACCAACTAAAAGCGGAACTCAAGAACTTGGACTCCATCCGCAACCTGGAGTGGGAATCTTGCAACGGTCTAAGACACTCGAAGAAGTTTCTGAGGGCTTACGACCAAGAAAAATCAAAGATCTTTCTGGATTTAATTAAGAAGAATCTTCGGATTGTCACGGTGTTTTTAACACGACACTGTCTTCTCAATGAACACCTCAGTAGATTGAAACTAAGAAGAAACGGCGAATGCAGATTCTGTGGGGAAAATGGGAAAACACCAGAACACTTCATCACTGAGTGCGCCGAGACGACAACCATTCGTGCCATGAACTTTTGTACAACTGATATTGGAGATGGAGAACTACCCTCTGTAAAACCGTCCCAGATACTGGCTTTTGTCAAAGCCCTGGAACTGTATGATGAGTTATAACTCAAGAAAGGGGGACACAATAGATCTGGAAGATCGCAGTGATTAACCCCCCTGCCAGTCATTCTAAAATGGGTATCTCGGTAACTACTGTAAGCTAGAAAGTCTGTTAAATGGGGAAAGAATTGCAGTTTTGTCAGGACAAGCATATGCGCCTATCGGATTTTGAAAAAGTTTATGGTCTGCGATATTTGAAAAAAAAAATTTCGGCTATTTTAACAATGCCCTCTAAGTAGTTCCATTATAATCAATTTTAGACAAAAAGTTTTCAGAAAAGAGTTGTAGATAATCATCTTTAATGACATTTTGTTCTTTTTTTTCTAAAACCTGTAATATTTGAGATATGAGAGAAACATATGTTTTTAGATGTTTTTATGATTAATTTTTTTTATTAAAAGTCAAAAACAATTAGTACTATACGTCATTGACTTACTTTTCAGTAGCGTCTCCGGAATTGATGTTATTAAATTAATTATTATAACTCATCTCTTTTTATTTGACGTCTTGCGTCTCAAAAGTGGCTCACCCATATATTTACTTATTCATAAAAAGATGCTTTTTCCAATTATGCTAATGAGCCACCCTTGTTTTATTTGAAAAAATTGAGATATGATTAAAAATACGATTTGGGCATCCTTTTAACCGACAAGGTCAACACACGAAAAACACTAGACGATTAAATCTATTTTTCCAAGTCTCCTTGATTAATAATTAGTGTTTTTAACACAGCCATGGCACTCTAGATGAAATTTAAATACGATTTTTTTTTAAAGCGAAAATGTCAAAAATTCATTCGTCATTGTACTCGCAGAGTGTCATTTTCTATCGAATAAAATAGAAATATACCGGGGGTGCCATTTGAAAATCAAAAGTTATAGTCGTATCCGGTGAAACAGGAAATGAACAAAAACAATTGAATACGTCGATCAATCCTAATTTATGTCATATACTAACATACCAAACGGTATACTGGGTGCGCCTCAAAGGAGGCTCACCCCTATCACTGTTTAATTTTTTCAGATAAAAAAATTTGATATGTTAGTATGTTAGAAATTTGGTATGTTAAGTATGTGACATACATTGGGATTGATTGACGTATTCAATTCTTTTCGGTCACCTCCTGATTCACCGGAAATGTTTACAACTTTTGATTTTTAAATGGTACCCTTCGTATTTTTTTACTTTCTTCGATAGAAAATGACACTCTGAGTAGAATGGCATATCTAGTATATGTTAACTGTTGACATCTTCGCAAAAATCGTATTTTAAATTTTAATTTATTTAGAGTTCCATGGCTGTGTTAAAAACATTAATATTTAATCAAGGAATCTTAGAAAAATAGATCGTTTAATGTTTTTAGTTCGGTTTTTAGTGTTTTGTCCTGACCAGTTAAAAGATGCCCAAATCGGTATTTTTAATTATAATTTAATTTTTTCAAATGTAACGAGGGTGGCTCATTAGCATATTTTGAAAACGCATTTTTTTACGAATAATTTGGTACCACATACTTGGTGTTTCGAGTCAAATTGTCATTATGAACCGCATGTTACAATTTAACATAAACCATATGCGAAAATGTCAAAAGTTAACATATTATTATATGGCATGCTATTCAGAGTTTCATTTTATTGTAATAAAGTTGTATTTTATTGTTAATAAAATAAAAAAATACCGAGGGTGCCATTTAAAAATCAAAAGTTGTAGTAATTTCCGGTTAAACAGGAAGGGACCGTAAACAAATGAATACGTCAATCAATCCTAATTTATGTCATATACTAACATACCAAATCTAGTTTTTTATCTGAAAAAATAAATAAGTTATAGGGGTAAGCCAATTTTTAGACGCACCCGGTATAGTAAAATAGCGAGGGTGCCATTTAAAAACCAAAAGTTGTAGTCATTTCCGGTGTAACAGGAAGTGACCGAAAATAATTGAATACGTCGATCAGTCCTAATTTATCTCATAAACTAACATACCAAATCTCGTTTTTTTATCTTAAAAAATAAAAAAGTTACAGAGGTGAGTAATGACATTTTGGCCTCTGATTATAATTTTTCAAGAGATTTTGTGGTTATAAATAAAATATTTATGGTTTTATAAGCTAATTATTCCACTAAATTCGAGGTTCCGAATGAGGCTATAGGAATATTAAAAAAAGTGTCACTTGTGTGTGTATCACTGCATAATATTGCCACTTGCTATCAATACGCAAACTTCTATCTTTCAAGAATTTTAGAAAAAAAAATGCTTAGCTTCTTTTATATTTATTAATAAAAGTACCATTGAAAAAACATTCAAACTTACCACTACAAGTACTATATTGACATCTGTCACAATTACAAGCTGAACAACTTTTATCGAACTCACAACCTGTTGAGTACCTTTTTATACGCATTTGGACACATTGCACGTAGTCCCCTCGTAACTTCTTCAAAGCTTCGCATTTTTTTTCGTGATACCTTTTTTGTTTCAAACAATCCTCTGCACATGCTTCGCTAATCAGTAGGACAATTAAACCTACGATCCAAATCTGTTTCATCTGAAAATACCACTTATTTTAGATATATTTTCCGAAAGACCTTTTTTTTTAGGGAAATCTAATATTTCGAATTTCAACTTCCTATTTTAAATTTTCTACCAAAAAAAAATTGATAAAAACTAGAAAATTACCTTTTTTCAATTTTTTGCCACACTTTAAATTCTATATTACATTCAACTAATTTATGCAGCTGTCTGACTTGTCACTTGCTAAACTAAGCTCACAGGATGATATCTTACTGTGTGTCTATATAATCTCAGCATATTGACTTAGCAGAAAAGGGAAAAAATCTGAAATGTAGGACAAGGAAATTGGCAATGGTGCAGTTTTGTTGAGACATCAACGAAACTCTCAAATAGATAATATTATGCACCTTGTTACATCATCGAGTAACTGAAAAAAAAATCCGAAAATTATATTTCTTTTGGTAAAAATTGGTGCAGAATCAATTTAGCATACGAAAAATTTTAAAATCTACATACCTGGTGCGTCATAAAAGTGTCTCACCCCTTTAACTTTTTTATTTTTTCAGATAAAAAATGGAGATTTGGTACGTTAGTATATGACATAAATTAGGATTGATTGACGTATTCAATTGTTTCACCGGAAATGACTACAACTTTTTATTTTTATAAATGGCACCCTTGGTATTTTTTACTTTATTCCATATAAAATAAAACTCTGAATAGAATGACATATCATATGTCAACTTTTGACATTTTCGCGTATGATTTATTTGAAATTATAACTTGCAGTTCGTAACCAAAATTTGACTCGAAATATCAAGTGTGGTATCAAATTATTCGTAAAAAAATGCTTTTTCCAAATATGCTAATGAGCCACCTTCGTTCCATTTGAAAAAATTGAGATATGATTAAAAATACGGTTTAAGCATTTTCTAACTGGCCAGGACAAGACACTAAAACATTAGACGATCAAATCTATTTTTCCAAGCCTCCTTGATTAAGAATTAGTGTTTTTAGCATAGCCATGGCACTCTAGATTGAATTTTAAAATACAATTTTTTATTAAGCGAGAATGCCAAAAGTAGTCATATGATATGTCATTCTATTCAGAATGTCATTTTCTATCGAATAAAGTAAAAAAATACCGAGGGTGCCATTTAAAAATCAAAAGTTGTAGTCATTTCCGGTGAAACAGGAAGTGACCAAAAACAATTAAATACGTCAATCAATCCTAATTTATGTCATATTCTAACACACTGAAAAAATAAAAAAGATATAGGGGTGAGCTACTTTTGAGACGCATCCGGTATATAAAATGCTAATGTTTATCTGTGTTGTCTCTACTGAAGTAACGACTTGCTCTAGAAAGTTTTTTTACTAAAAAAAACTTTTTTTACTTTTAGTAAAAAAAAACTTTTTTTACTAAAAGATAGCTAATTGTCTCTTCTAAAAACTGTCGTCGCCGGATTTTTTGTTTTTCATTTAAATAAAAAAAAATAAAAAACTATTTTTTTTCCTGATGTGGTAGCGGATGCGCCAGGCTTCAACTAGTATGGAAATAATTACTGAATTATTTTTCACATTTATGTTTAATAAAATAAATTGTATAATTTAGGTATTTATTTACTGGTAAATCTATTATACTTTAGATAAAAAAATTAAAAAAAATAAATCAATAATTTAAAGCAAAATTTTACCTTCCATTTTTGGAACATCTGTACACTTTTAAGTTTCAATAATAAATAAACAGTCTGGCATAGACTTGCACGAATTACCTACCTGCTATTGAGGGTAAGTCCCAATTACCACCTCCAGTTTTGTATGCAGGAAATGGAAGTAAGTCAAAGCTATAAATTTATAAATTTCGCATAAATATCAAATGTATGGGATATTTATACAGGGTCCGGCAATAGTGCGTCGGGCATCTGTAGCTCCTAGAATGAAAAACTTGGGACTTTTGTTAAAGTGCAAACCTAAAGCATGTACGAGGATGTATTTCAGGAAAATATTTTAACTTCTATAGGGTGGCTCAAATGTATGGATCGGGATGATTTTTTTTAAACGGAACATCCTGTATATTATTGCATTTTTGGCTTTCTTTACATTACTTCATCACTTTACATCATCCTAAGATACGAGTAAATATATTTGGATAATTTCAGAGTTTTTTTAACCATCCTTACAAATGAAGGGTCCAGGGGAAAAACATGATAAGCGCCATTTCACCGATTTTACAGGAAAGCACTGGACGGCTGGTAGTTATTAAGTTCTCGCCGTGTAATCTTTATTTTTACTAGGAATATATCATAGGATTTAACAACTTAATGCCCTGCAGTTGGTTAGGTTGCCCTGCAGTTGGTTATACATTTTGTAGGGACCAGTTAGACCTACTATAATATTGTAAAATCCCAAAATTAAGAAATTGGCGCTTATCAAGTTTTCCCTGTACCCTTCAAAAGCAAGAACTGTTCTGAAATCAAACTATATTAGGTATTTACTTTAGATAGTCTATGTGATACTCTAATTCTATGCGAAATTTTCTAAAATATATAATAATTTTTCTTTGTTTTTTATATATTATTTTTTTATTATTTTTATTTTACTCATTACAAACACCTATTGAGGTAGCTACATGTAAAGGCCTAAAGAAAACAAATACAATTACAGTTACTTAAAACTAGACATGTACTACAAAAGTACATAAAAATAATATAAATAAAGTATATATAACAATAAATAAAGTAAATAAGAATAAAGTACATAACATTTAATTTATAAAATGTGCAATAAAAAAACAATGAAACCTATCACGCCAGAATTGTCTCCTGATGCACCAACAAGATGCGCTTGAGTTCGCCAAACTTAATGCTAAACATATCGGGAATTGTGTTCCCAGACAACATATCATTACAAATGGTGAGCATAAACGTGAATGGCGAGGGGCTTCCAACATCAATGTAAAAAAGATTAAACTTACTCACTTTTAAAGTATCAAAATATTTGGTACCCTAAACTTGATGCTATTAATCAGACCACAGTCAGCATATTTTAAATTATTAAGAATGTTATATACAAAGATGACAGCCCGTGTCCTTCTAGAGGTCAGCGAAGTTAACTGAAATGTTTCCAACATTGATCTGTAAGAGATCATTGTTGGATACATGTTGTTTCTTTTAATGTAAATATAACGAAGGAAACGTTCTTGAACCTTCTCAATCTCGTTACTGTGGGTGTAACAATTGGGAGACCAGTTATTTGATGCATATTCAAGATGCGGTCTTACAAGAGAGGTATAAAGTCTTGTAGTTGACTGCATATCGAAATCTTTACTATTACGCATAACAAATTAAATTTAAAATTGTCCTGAAAAATCACTCCTAGGTCTTTAACTTCCTTACACCTCACAACCTTACAATTTCCAATGTAGTAGTCTTCAATGACTGTATTGATCCTCCGGGAAAAAGAAACAACACAACACTTTTTAGTATTAACAAGCATCTTGTTCTCCTTAAACCAGTCCAGAGCCAATTTCAAATCAGTTTGGAGAGCCCTAGTATCATCAATATTATTAATTGGTTTAAATAATTTAAAATCATCCGCAAACAACAGCCTCAAAGACACCCTCAGACTCTCAGGCAAATCATTAATAAAGATTATAAAACAAAAGAGGGCCCAATATACTGCCCTGGGGTACCCCGGAGGTGGCAACATATTGATTGGAATAAACATTAGGTACCTATCTTAACTCTTTGAACTCTCGAAGTTAAGTATGAAGTTAAAAACCACAGCGACTCACCGTCCCGAGATCTGCCAGTTTTTCAATCATAACACAAAAATACACCTTATCATAAGCATTTGCACAGTCTGTATATATGACATCAAGTTGCTGTTTGTTTGATATTGCCTTCGATACATGTTCAGAGAACACACATAGGTTTGTAACTGTTGACCTTCACGGCAGGAAACCTGTTGATATTTTGAAATTCTATCAGATATAAATGAGTATATGTAGTTATATATAATTCTCTGAAATATTTTAGCCAGACTATTTAATAAGCTGATAGGTCGATAATCGTGAACATTCTCCATCTTTCCCTTTTTAAATATAGGTGTTACAGTGGCTTCGTTAAGCTTGTCAGGAAAATATCCCTGTTTCAGAGCTAAATTAAAAATATGTTTAAGTATTAGATGGAGAATTAAAAAATTAACATTTTGTGTATTTAAAGTATCCCACATTTTTCATGATTTCGCAGATACACGCAGTATTATTTCATATCTAAACGGTAAAACAGGAGAGAAAAATCATTTGTTGGCTTTGATAAAAAATTACTCTGGAAAATGCCATATCAAATATAAAACCGCTAATATCTGCGAAACCGTTAAAAATTTTGAAATACTCTAAACACAAAACATGTTCATTTTTGAATTCTCCATCTATTAAAGAAATAATATACCTAGTGTTCTATTTAAAAAAATAACGAAGAAAATTTATGTTATATTTCAGAGTATGGCATAGAATTTTGAATAACCGAAATATGAAGGGAGACAAAAAATGCAACATTTTCAAGGCTAGGACAAATCTGTATGTACCATTGTTAGTTTCATAAAAAAATCTTTTATCGTGATATGAAAATCGAATCTTTGTATCTTTACTCATAAAAGAGAAACCACATAAAACACGAAAATGGTACACCCTGTGGTTATTAACGATTTTATTGTATTATCCTATTAATACAAACTTTTATGTAACCACTCAGTGGGTTAGTTTGTAGAACTTTATGTGATTTACGTAAATATAGATTGATATAGTTTTTTCGTAAATTCTTTACGTGAAATTCCGAGTTTTCAATGTTTACCTTCAATATTCGTAGTCCAAAGTTATAAAAAAAATTACTGGCCTATAATTTTAGTGTTGAAGATTTTAACTGATCTTATGGCGCATTCTCACGACTCGTGTACTTGACAAACATTTGTAATTGATATACAGGGTATACATGGTGCGTCGGGTATCTATATCAGAATTTGTGAGTTATTTATTATAGGAACTACGCCGCATTCCCGCCAGACCATGTATGCCAATAAAAATACTTGCCAAGTAGACGAGTCGTGAGAATGCGCCTTTAAGAGAACTATTTACATTATTGCAAATGTGTATTTGGCTGAACAAATAGCGCTTTATTATTTCTTGCTTTGATAAGAATTTATGTGAGGTAATTTTTATAAGTACACTCGATAGTGCAATGAACTGAATGGTTTAAGTACCTATACATATTTAGGTCAAAACATACAATGCAATGGTGGAATATACAATAGTATTAAAATTGAAATAAGTGTAAACTCTAAAAAGACATATGTTTTATTATATACACTGCTCGGCAAAACTAATGCACACTGAAAAACATATTACATAACAAAAAAATACCTACATAGATTAGGTATATGAAATAGTTCTAAACCATCTCTATACTCTATAGGCTTGGTGAATTTCAGTTGACTTCAAAAAATTCCGACCGTAGCGCTGTATACGGCAAAAATCAGAAGTTTTCACTATGTACTTCACGCCGTCCCGGTTACAGTTGATCGATAATATTGAAATCGTGGCTTTGTCATAATATCTAAGTATTTTAGATTTTTGCTAGTGCAGTTATTGAAACTAAAACACTCAGGTACGAGGTTTGTGTGATATAATGCTGATAGACTGAGAGCTGGCTACATAAAAAACCTCATCATCGTTATATGGCTAATTTTTCTTGTGAAGCATCCTTTTGTGTAGCCATTGTGAAATAGTCATGTCTGCCAGCGCGATCCCGGGGCTTAAAGGGGGGGCGGCCAATCGAAAGGGTGAAATTTTGCTCTGCTGAAGAGAGCAAGTAGCTTTTATTTATTATTATGAAACGTGTAAAATTGTTGCCAGACATTTTTCTCGCGGCTAAAATGCCGGCAGAAAACGCAACGCGAAAGAGGCATGGAATTTCGACAAAAAAATCATCACATACATCAAAACAAAATATATCAAAAAGACATCGCATGTTGATTGGTTGAATGTCATGTTTATTGTTTATTTATTTAAAAAGCCGTATGCCAAAGGGCAGACAAAAAAATAGTGGCTTAATCAGCCGTTATCAAAAGTGCGATATTACTCTACAGGGTGAATCTTGAAAAGTGCAAATATTTTCAGAGCTGGTAGATCTCCATAAAAGAAACATATTTTCTTTTTACAGTTTTCCAAAGTTTGAAAATTGTGAGCCACCTGTTTTTTTTCTGTATTTGCATTCATCCTTTCTAGTGTCGTAGTCATAGAGTAAAGCCATAAGCATGGTAGGTTAAGAAATAATTATCCTGTGGGTAAATTTGCGGTGAACAGGCAGTTCTAAAAAAGTTGTCTAAAATATACAGGAAAGGTTAAAAAACAATGCACGATTTTCTACATCTCTTTTTGCGAAAAAAAACTCATAGACGTGTTCCTGGGGTCGAAATATATCACCCTTAAAAGTATTTGCACTTATTTAAGACTCATCCTCTATAAGCGTTTTCAGGAAACGCTCGACGCGTTATCAATAGAAACATAATACATGTCACTCTAAAACAAAAGAAAAACATGTAAAACACAAATTTTACGGTGCAGATATCGACTCAGAGGAAGACTTGCGAGAGTGAGGATTTGTAGTACGATGAGTCAGATACAAATAGTGAGACAGAACAGCAAATATATGATATCTGTTATTGAAATAATAAAAAAATATATTTATAATATAATCGTATACCTGATTTATCTATAATTAAATGGATGAAGCGGCGAGCGTTCCCTGAAAGCGCTAGAGTAATATCGCGCTTTGATAACTGTTTGCAGCTGATTTAGCCACGATCTTTTTGTCTGCCCGTTTGCATACAACTTTTAAAATAAATAAATATGACATTCAACCAGTCGGCATGCATGTATGCCATATTTTGTTCTTCAAATTTAATTTTTTAATAATTTTTAAAATTTCATGCTTCTTTCGTGCGTTGTCTATGCCGACAGTCATTTAGCGACTAGAAAAATGTCTGCCAACAATTTTCCACATTTCTTAATAATAAATAAAAGCTATTTTCGCAATTATAACTCGTGTACCTTATAAAATTTTTAGTATCAAAATTTCACCCATTCGATTGGCCGCCCCCGCTTTAAGCTCCAGGATCGCGCTGGTAGACATGACTATTTCATAATGGCTACACAAAAGGATACTTCACACAAAAAATTAGCCATTTAACGATAATAAAATTTTTTATGTAGCCAGCTCTTAGACTATGATTCCGGTAGTAAAAATTACGTGGAAAAGAACTAGAACTGGGCGTCGCATTGTGTTCTGACCAGGGACGCGCCAAGTATTTTCGGCGCCGTCGTGCGAAATAAGGGTAGGCGCCTTTCTCCAATATTATAATATTAAGCCAAAATTTCCAATGACCAGCGGCGCGGCGCTCGACATTGGTGGATAATATATTTTCACCACTGGCGTTCATAGATAAAAGTATTACTTAAATTTTATGTTAATTTGTTGATAAATTCCAAAAAATGGTTTTATTATTTTTTAAAGTTAGGTGACCGCAGGCGCCTTTTAGGACTTTGGCGCCGTCGTGCGCCGCACAACCTTGCCTATATGGACGGGTCCCTGGTTCTGACAATTTCAAATGTTAGTAAAACTGCCGAAAAAATGTTAACGCGTAAAGGAGGACGTAATTACGTGGTTGTTAGGTGCAATAACATTCAATAACTTATAGTCCAAGAACCCAGAGCGATCTGACATCTATTTTTACAAGGATGACACCTTAGGCTCTCAGTAGTGCTCTAATGTGCTTTGAATACCGGCGTGTTTGGGGATTTCGCCCTGTGACACCTTGGCAGATACAGGGTGAGAAAGGTAACTAAAATTAAGAGTTACTTAACTTAAATTTGTATGGCTGATTTTTTTATAAATATTGTAGAATATTACTCTGAAGTAGTATCAAAAGTATCAGACACTTTCCATGGACCTGAACTTTTATCAGACGATAGCAAATCAAAAAGTGGATCTTTGATAAGGATAGACTTTATCAAAGCTCCATAAAATATAAATGAACGTTTCTTATAACTTTTACATATCTGATTTTTACATATGCTATTAAGACAGCTATTATAAAGTTATATTTAATCACTCAAACAGATTGTAATGACCAAACATCCTCTAAACACAAAAATTATTCAGCCGTGACTATTAGGGCGGTAGAACTATGCGCAAGCGTTTCCGAGTAAAGTATTTAAATATTTTAAAAATACTTACTGCTTTCGGTTATTTTTGCATCTCTATTTAAATCAAATGAGCTTTTTATTAAAGTAATAATTAACTGTGGTGCCCGGTGGCGTAAAGGTGCAGGTTCTCGTCTACCAATCTGAAGGTAGTGGGTTCGATTCCCACACCCGGCATTTCGTCAGCCGACTATTTTTATTAAAATAAAAATAGTTTGGGTACCTAGGTCGACTCAGCCTTAAATGAGTACTTGGGATTCACAATCCTGAGGTAATAATAGGCGGTTGAAGCGTAGTGCTAGCCACATTACCTTCCTTGTATACCGAACGGCTCTAGTATGGCAAGCTGTACCTTGCTACTCCCAAGGCGTTTAACGCTATATACGGGAGCTATTATTATTATTATAATTAATAATTATTAAAGTAAATTAATTTATTGCATATAAACTACTCGATATTAAATTATCGCATATTTTCTAAACAAATATTAATCTGAAAAACAAAAGTCACCTTGAATTCTCTGACTTCCGTTTTTAAATAGTTTGGATACTATAAATATATATATATATATATATATATATATATATATATATATATATATATATATATATATATATATATATATATATATATATATATATATATATATATATTAGATACTGTAAAGGGAAATATTCGAAAATAAGTCTGGGGGGTGACATGCAATTTTTAGTCGACCGATTATTTAGATGTAAAAGTGAAAACAATAGATACTGGAGCCGATCGGCCGACTATTATTTGACTGCATGTGAGCACGGCTCTATAAGAACTCTATTGGTTACAAATCTGCAATTAATTAGTCGGCCGACTAAGAATTGCCTGTCACCCCTAGATTTATTTTCGAATATTTCCTTTTACAGTATCCAAACTATTTAAAAACGTAAGTCAGAGAATTCAAGGTGTCTTAATATTTTTTTTAGAAAATATGCGATAATGGTTTTGAGTAGTTTATATGCAATAAATTAATTTACTTTAATAATTAATAACTATTACTTTAATAAAAAAGCTCATCTTATTCAAATAGGGATGCAAAAATAATCGAAAGCAGTAAGTATTTTTAAAATATTTAAATACTTTACTTGGAAACGCATGCGCATAGTTCTCCCGCGCTCATAGTCACGGCTGAATAATTTTTGTGTTTAGATTTTTGGGCATTACAATCTGTCTGACTGATTAAATATAACTTTACTAGCATGTACCCGCAACTTCGTTCGCGTCGAATTAATCATTTGTAATGGTGATGATAAAGCAAAGCAAGAATTTCCATTAACATACAAACTGGATAAAATTTTCTCACATATATGTCAGCATGAGAAAAAACAATAGGGCGATATTATTATATAACTTGGTAATATTTGAGGGGTAGTTTCATCTCGTTGGAATTTGACTTTCGAAAAATCCGTTTGCCAGAAATAAGCTTTTTACGTCAAGCAGTTTAAGCAGAATCGTGATTACTCATATTTTGGTGTATATGGTCATATGTTCATATTTTATGAAACGTGGTCATATTTTATGAAACAACATTCAGTGGTCATATTTTATGAAAAAACCCTGTATAAAATTTTAAAAAATCTTAAAATATGTAAAACAACAAAATAAAACATACGTGTTTAAGAGTTTTTCCTAAAAACTCACTGGTTTTTAAATAAAAAATATTCTAATATTTCAGGGGTGGTTTCAACCCCTTTGAATTCGAGTTTCGAAAAATCCCTTCTTATCGAACCTCTACACCCTAAAGTCAATCCGTTTTCCAAAAATCATTAATCAATGACGAGATTTTTCACACCAGATTTTTCACATCCCAGTTACATTTATAAAAAATCTTAAAACATGTAAAAAACAAAATAAAATATACGTGTTTAAGCGTTTTTTCGGAAACTTGACCGTTTTTTAAATAAAATATTGTAATATTCCACCCCCCCCCCCCCTTTTACCCCCTTAGGGGATAAATTTTAAAAATTCCTTTCTTATCTCACGTAAACATCATAAAAGAAACCCTTGTGCAAAATTTCAGTTTTCTAGGGTTAAGGGTTTGGTCTGGGCGTTGATGAGTCAGTGATCAGTCAGGACTTAGAGATTTATATATATATAATAGTATAGATAATAGCTGTCTTAATAACATATGTAAAAATCAGACATGTAAAAATAAGTAAAGTTCATTTATTTTTTGTGGAGCTATCTATATCAAAGATCCACTTTTTGATTTGCTATCGTCTGATAAAAGTTCAGGTCCATGGAAAGTGTCTAGTGTCTGATACTTTTGATACTACTTCAGAATAATATTCTACATATTTATACAAAAATCAGCCATACAAATTTAAGTTAAGTAACTCTTAATTTTAGTTACCTTTCTCGCCCTGTATCTGCCAAGGTGTCACAGGGCGAACTCCCCAAACACGCCGGTATTCAAATCAAATGAGAGCACTACTGAGAGCCTAAAGTTTCATCCTTGTGTAAATAAGTTATGTCAGATCGCTCTGGGATCTTACTTTTTTAACATTCCCGGATATTCAAAACTCTCCCGAATCCACATTTCATAGCTTCACAGCTTCTTTACACCGATTTGATCGAAAGCAAAAATGGATTCAAGCAGTTTGACGAAACAAGTGAGTAAACAAAGAGCCCATTAGATAATCAAAAAAATTAAATAGACATACTTTGAGAGAATAAAATATAATTTGCAATATTAATGGTATACTTTTTTTTATTAACTAGTGCTTAATTTTTTTATCAATATATCTTCTAAAATTATAATTATGTATGTACCTTCAAAAAATGAAGATATCAAAATATTTACTTTTTTATTTTATTTTTAAAATTTTCACAAGTTATACTTCGTAACACTTTTAGATAAATTATATAAAGTTTGTCGTATACTCGCTATTTAAACCCTTGTATTTGTATCTACCGACAATTTCCGATGGTGGCTGCACTGGCACAGAATGCGCCAAACCTATATGTGTAAAGCGGCCCATACATTATCAAACAAATTGCGCAACAAAGCGATGCGCAACGCTGCGTTGCACAATTGAGCGGTCCATACACTATCAAACAAGTTGCGCAACAAAGCGATGCGCAATGTTCCGTTGCACAACTGCATCACCCATGCACTTAGTAAAATTTTGATCAAACTTTTCATTAAAAGTTGTGCATTGTTTGAGAAACAATCATGTCCTCAATTGCCATTGCGTCAATTATTATCGTATATACCCTACATGATGTCGATGATACCAAAAGACGAAAAAGAAAACAACGAATTTGGATGAAAGAACTAAAATATTGCACAACGAAGCGCAACACACATATACACTACACAACGCGTTGCGCAAACAGTCCTGTTGCACAAAAGAATTCAAGCATTCTTGAGACTCATCAAACAATTGCGCAACGCATCAAACACTACCATACATTGGCAACTCGTTGCGCAACAGCCTGCGTTGCGCAATTTATTTGATAATGTATGGGCCGCTTAATTTAAAGAAAAAATACGATCTCTCATGAAAAATACATTTATTTTCTGAAAAACTTAAACCTAATATTGTTCTGTCAAGCATACATTTTCTAAATATATAATATATAAATACTAAATTAGTCCAGTCTTATTTTCTGAGTATCTCAACCATATTTACAAAGTACAGCTCTTGTTTTCAGCTTAAACCACACTCAACGAGTTTATAACCATTAAGAAGTATAATTTTTGTATTCTTAAGGCCTGATTGTATCTAGTATCCAATCCATGTAGTATATAACTAGAGTATATACTCCAGGGTATCCAGGTAAACCACAGTATTTTGGTCCAAAAGAAACAACTCCCTAGAAAAAAATAAGTTCTTATATACTTATTGTTATCTTTTCAACCACTTAAAAACTGTTTTAACACACACTGAACCAATGGATGCTGAACAAACAAAAACTGTAATATACAAAATACCATCTGAATGTGTTAAATTTTACATTGGTGAAACTTCTAGACCGATAATTGTTCGAATTAAATAACATAAACATTATTTAAAAAAGGGCGATTTTCATCAGGTGATAAGAGATCTTTCATTTAAAAAATCAATGAACGAAATTAGTCAAACCGTAGCCGCTTGGAGGAATTGAAACAATTATTACAGATTCTGTTATCTCTATATTACGAAACATTTTCGGTCAAGTTGTGTATACTTTCTTGTTCATGGTGGTAACTGGGAACATAAGGCGTCGAATAAAAAAGAGAGTCGGCTGGTCCCGGTTATTCTGACGGTTCTCAAAATGTAACCACTACTTTTTTAAATTTAATTTTGAAAACGGTTATTTTAAATTTATTTTTAAAATGGTACATAGAAACTATGTTCATTTGGCTAGCTAGATCTACCATCGCTTAAAATACTTGCTGTTAGATACAGGGGTTGCTGATATGTATGGAAACGGTCGATTATTGGGCAAAGTATACGAGGTCCCGCAAAAAGTTAAATACAAAAGTTATAGGGTTTTTAACTGCCTAACATCTTGTAAAAAAATTTAAATATACAGAGTCCCCTATAAAGTCGTGGCACCTCAAAGATTTTTTTTTTAAATAGTATGTTTATGATTGGGTATTTCAATTCTTCCTTCAATTTTAAGCAAAAATTGTAATACACATAATGTACCTAAATCCAACCGTCTCCGAGATATCGAGTTTTGGTTTTGAAATGTTAAACCAAAATTTTGTATTTTCCAGACTTGATATAATCTCATTTTATACATCTATAAATGCTAACTTGAAAACTAATGTCAAATGTTATTATTATTAAGTATCACAGCATCCTAGAATGGCATCATTAAATGAAACCGACACATCGAAATTAATTAAACCGAATCGTTTAAGTGATATTTTCAAAGGTCAATAACTCGGAAACGGTTGGTTTGGGGTACATTGTGTGTCTCTCTATTTTTGCTTAGAATTGAACGAATAATTGAGATATGCAATGATATACGGGGGAGGGGGGGTCCATTTATAAAAATGAAACTTTGATGTGCCACGATTTTATGACCGACCCCGTATACTTAAATTTATTACTCCCCAATAGACTATAACTTTATTATTTTACTTTTTGCGGTACCTCGTATATTATACCCAATAATCGACTGTTTCCATTCATATTAATGACCCTGAATAGATGCAATAATAATTATTATTAGAGCCCGTATATACAGGATGTCCCAGAAATAAGTGCAAGTATTTTAAGGGGTGGTATACTCTGTTTTTTTCTCAGGTAAGATTTACACAGACGATGACAGAAGAAAAGCAGATGACGTCCCATACCAATCTATTTATTTTACTAAAAAAAGTTTCTAATAATTTTTAAGTTAACTATGGATGGGTTTAAATATAAATCCGTCATGCGTCGTCTCTTGTTGTTTTTAACCAGTTTTATTGGTTTATTTCAAAAATGACAGATCGTATTTCAATTTTATTGGTTTGACGGAACGATGAACGACAAACGGACGCCGATGCGTATGAACTCGCCTTTAGATTTTTGACGCTTGTCAAAGTCTTGCCAAATTAGAGGTTATAATTTTGTGCCAACTTTTGTCAGTTTTGTCAAATACCCTGCGTTTTGGAAGATGATACATTTTGATTCGTGTTATTACGTATGTTTTGTGTCTTTTGAAGTCAAGTGGAGGAAAAATCGAGTGAAAATTAACTGTAGACCCAGACCACAGTTTATGGTTAATACTCGCTGCCCAGGCAAAAAGTCTTATACACCAATAAAGTTACCATCATTAAAGTTCGTACACCATCTCGTCGTAGATAAGTGCATCTCGAATATGGTAGAAGGATTATACTAAACACATGCTAAAAACTGGAGTAGCTGTAAAATATCGACATCACACGATACGTAAATAATGGATTTTAGTACTGCACAAGAAAAATAATGCCAAAGGTACTGGTTTAAAAAATTAAGATTAAAGTTAATTAATCAACCTTTAAGGTACCCATAAAATTTGGTAAGTGTTATTAATAATAAAATAGTTTGTTTTATTTATGTTGTTTTATTTATTCCTGCGGAATATTACAAATTTGTATTTGTACATAAGTTATATTGATAAATATAATCATAAATGCGGGAAGTTTCATAAAGCTTGAAAGTAAGAAATAGTTCTTTTTTATATTTTTTTGGTATGTGGTGTCTTGTTCTTGTTTGTTTTGTATTAACACATACCGTTTTTTATTAAATTAAATAACTCGATTACATTTTTTCAGTTTTATACAGTTTTTCGCACAATATTTTGAAGTAATCACTTGTCAGTCAAATTTTAAATATAATAATTTCCTGCTATGCGTTTCAGTTGTACCAACTTATTTCTTTGTAAAATAAAACAAACTACTTTGAAATTAAAATGACAGACACATCTATCAGTGTCAAGGATCTTCTCGTTGGACAGACTATAGATCTCGATAAAAGAAACATATTTTCGTTTATCGTTTTTCAAATATGTCCAACATAACGGAGTTATTTTACTTTGAAAATTTCCAAAAAAAAAAATGATTTTTTGCTAAAATTTTGAGAACCACTGGATCTTTTCTGGATTTTCTTTCTTGTAAATTTAATCTAATACCTATGTTGCCATATTATAAGAAATTATGTTTTTTAACTAAAAATAAAAAAAATTCCAAAATTTTTCAAAAAATTTCCAAAATTTTTTTCAAAAAATTTCGAATTTTCAAAATTTTTTTTCGCGAAAAAAATCTGATAGGCATGTTTCTGGGGTTGAACTATACTACCAGTTAAAATACTTGCACTTATTTCTAGGACACTCTGTATAATAAAATTAATAGTTTTTTACCTGTTGAACGTATTGGGCATCATCATTAGAGTCCACACCAGGGACTACCATAGGCCCTCCGCTATCACCGGGACATGAATCCTTATTTCTAACACCTCCAGCGCACAACTGATAGTTGTGTAATTCTATATTGTGTTGTTTGTAAATGTCAGCACATGTTGCTTTGTCTGTTACTGGTAAACCAACTTTTTGCAGAATATCTGCCGTCTCCTCTACAAAATATCGAGTTGTTTTACTAAATTTGATTTTAGAAGGTTGATTTACTAGGAGTACCTGTATCAGGGTTCACTATACCCCATCCTGTGACGACAATGTTGGTATAATTGAGGGTTCTTTGAGTTTTAGTTATGGGAAGGCATACAGGTCTTGTACTTTCTAAAAAAATATCGATACGTGTTGAACATCATTATTGCACAAATATATCGATACATTTTCACATCCCTATTTAATTTTAAAAAATTCTGTAAAGCTAAAAATGTTGTTTGAATCATTACCTTGTTGTAAGTTCATCTTTGAGACTCTTAAGAGGCCAATGTCGTTGGTAAAAGTGGCAGGATTAAAATCAGGATGCGGTATAACTTGTTCGATACTAAGATCGATTGCTGGGGGGTTGCATTTAATTTTTCTCTTGCGTCTTAGCTCGCAATCGGTCTCGTTTTGGATGCTGTGTTCGCCAATTCTAACTGAAACTCTAAAAAATAGGTATTTTACTCTTAGACAACAAAACGTCATCGAGCTAGAGGTGTAAAAATATATCGATATTTTTGATTTATTATTCTTGGCTTAAGTCACTAGAGATGTTCAAAAGATATCGATGTCCATAAAATATCGATACTTTTTAAAACCTCATCCTAGAATGGGTCACTTACAGCCTGCTGTTTTTTAGATTTGCGATGCAGTGAGCGGCTGTCAAAATATAGTTCTGGTTTATTATGGTTCCGCCACATTTAAATCCTGATTTCTCTGAAATACAAACAAGAATTTTATAAACATACACTTTACCAATAAAAATCTTTACGATTAAGATGAATTTTCACGTCTTTAGACAGTGGCGGCACGTGAGTTCGGAAGGAGTGTACACAGACACAGCCTCTACAAGAAAATATTGTTGCGAGCCGGTGTGGATTCGACCTAACCTCACAATATGGCCCGCCCTCGGATGACCTTAACATCGCATAGACACCGCAATGATTCATTCGTTCGAGAAGAATCGAGACCCATTAGAATGGACTCGTACATACGAGAACATTCGAAAACCTTCTCTATGCGCCTAACGATCTTTGGACAACGATCCAAAAAATGAGTGGAAATATAATTTACCTCTTTGAATAAATATATTTAATCTAATTCATAGATTTTAGGGCCTTGGCCCCATGGGTCCCCCCTCTGTATCCGCTACTGTAACTATAAACATGTTGATAGTTACCAGTGAAAAGTTATTCCCTTATTTGACTTATTTCTCTCGATTTTTGACCGAGATCATGGTTTAACTATTTTACAGTGTTTTTCGGGAAATCGTAATATTATCACTGTTAATTTCATTTCTGACACAATTTCCCTCGCAATTTCCTTATAGATTTACTACCTCTAAAGAAAATAATGACAAAAAATAAGCTCAGTAAAGACAAACAAATTCGTAAAACTTCAAATCGAATTTGAAGAAAACAGAATTGTCAAAGATGGGGATCTGTAATGTCGATTTATAATGCATGGACAACATTATACTTTTTCCTTAATATTTTTATTCAAAGATTTACCTGTGACTTAAAATGACAGACATAAGCGCCGCTGTCATGGATCCTCTCGTTAGATAGACTATATTACAGACACAATTATATACTGCATGATCGAAAAAAAACGGCGTCAGCGATGACTATGAAGTGAAGACCGCTGTAGTTTTATATGTAAAATTATATGGGGAATGCTATCAATCGTCATTTCCAAGCCAACTGGACTCCGTTTTTTTTCGATCATACGGTATCATTGCAGTTAGAAATAATTTACAACGGTCCGACGCACTGTGGTCCCGTAGACTCGAAAAACGCGAAAAAACGATTTTTGTGAAATTAGTCGAGACAAGCCTCTCGTTAAATAGACTATACTATTACAGACACAATTATACCGGGTGCATCTCAAAAGTGACTCGCCCCTAAAACTTTTTTATTTTTTCAGATAAAAAAACGAGATTTGGTATGTTAGTAGGTATATGACATAAATTAGGACTGATTGACGTATTCAATTGTTTTCGGTCACTTCCTGTTTCACCGGAAATTACTATAACTTTTGATTTTTAAATGGCACCCTTTGTATTTTTTACTTTATTCGATAGAAAATAACACTCTGAATAGAATGATATATCATATGTCAACTTTTAACATTTTCGCATATGGTTTATTTGAAATTGTAACATGCGGTTTGTAACGACAATTTGTCTCGAAATACCAAGTGTGCGATACCAAATTATTCGTAAAAAATGCTTTTTCCAAATATACTAATGAGCCACCCTCGTTCCATTTGAAAAAATTGAGATATGATTAAAAATACGATTTGAGCATTTTCTAACTGGCCAGTACAAGACACCGAACAACAACCGAATAAAAACATTAGACGATCAAATCTATTTTTCCAAGGCTCCTTGATTACGAATTAGTGGTTTTTAACATACCCATGGCACTCTAGATTCAATTTTAAAATATGATTTTTTTATTAAGCGAGAATCTCAAAAGTTGACATATGATATGTCATTCTATTCTGAATATCATTTTCTATGGAATAAAGTAAAAAAATTGGCGCCGGGAGGCACGTATAGCCGCCCATACTTGATATTTTTTTTATCTCAAAAACTGCGACTTTGACTGATATTGATGATGATTACAAATTTTGTTGCAAATATTATTCCTAATCTTAAATTGAAAACCGCGTTTCGCTAGCTAGTAATTTTGGAGTTACGATTTTATAAAATTTTTAACCCCCTCCCATACCCCCTTACCAACCCTCCACCCCCACCAAAAACTAATGGCCAGATTGTCAGGTGCCACAGTATTTTTGTGCCAAATTTGGTTAAAATCGGTTTAGCGGTTTTTGAGTTATCGTGTTACAGACGGACAAACGGACAGACAGACACCATGAAAATATTTTGTGTTTAGGTCATTTATGACCCAAATAACTCATTTTGAGTGAAATTAATAAAACTTTTTTTTGCCGATCTTAATAGCCTACCATACCTGTCGGTATGGTCGGCTAAAAATACCGAGGGTGCCATTTAAAAATCAAAAGTTGTAGTAATTTCCGGTGAAACAGGAAGTGACCAAAAACAATTGAATACGTCAATCAATCCTAATTTATGTCATATACTAACATACCAAATCTCGTTTCTTCATCTGAAAAAATAAAAAGTTATAGGTGTGAGTCACTTTCGAGACGCACTCGGTGTACTGCATGATCGAAAAAAAACGACGTTAGCGATGACTATGAAATGAAGACCGCTGTAATTTTATATGTAAAATTATATGGGGAATGCCATCAATTCGTCATTTCCAAGCCAACTGAACGCCGTTTTTTTTCGATCATACGGTATTTGGTTTTAACTTGGCGGTCGGTTGGGCACATGTCTCTGTGACATTTAGTGACCTTTAGGTAAGACTTCCTTATTGAAACATTTGGACAAATTTAATTAAATATTTCTTGTATTTTTTATTGCCCTTTTTGTCTGTTTATACAACATGTCTAATTTTGACAGGTAAATTCTTAATTTTAAACATTCAGTTGTGGAAGATATATAACTGATTATGTCTGTCAATGTTCTAAGCCCATTCTAGAATCTAAAACTCTTTGGTCGTACTGTATATGTACAGGGTCCTGCAATAGTGTGTCTGGCATCTGTAGGTCCTATAAAAAAGAACTTGGAAATATTGATAAAGTGCATATTTCAGGAAAAAATACTTTTAACTTCTACAGGGGTATTCAAGAAAGTGTGAGGGGATCGGGATGTTTTTTTTAAATGAAACACCCTGTATATTATTGCATTTTTGGATTTATCCTTACATACTAAACTACACACATACTAACTACATTACTAAATCATACTGGGTGTTGAAAGTTTCACGCCAAATTTTCCAAAATATAAAATAATTTTTCTTGTTTTTTTTTCGATGGTCCCTGTATACTATTTTTTGTTAGATAGAGAATTAAAAAATTAACGTTTTTTATACCTATTTAAACTATTCAAATTTTTTTAACGGTTTCGCAGATATTCGCGGTATTATAAATATATGGCTCTTTCATCGGCAAAATACCAGAGAAATATCATTAGATGCCTTTTGTCTTTCATGAACCCATTTACCGTTGAATTTGCAAAACCGTAAAAAATTGAAATACTTTAAATACAACAAGTGTTCATTTTTGGATACATTGAAAAATACCTAGTGTAGTCATTTCTATAATTATTGCTATACCTATAAAATGCTGAAAATATGTTTTTTATTTATTTATTAATATCTCTGAAACTAACTAAACAAATTTAATAATATCTTATGACAATGTAAAGTGGTCAGAAAGAAAGTCAAAAAATGCAGTAATATACAGGGTGTTCCCTTTAAACAAAATCATACCGATCCACTCACACTTTTTTGAGCTATGCTGTAGAAGTTAAAATATTTTAATGAAATACATCCAAGTACATATGAGTATTTCAGGTTTGCATTTTAACAAAATGCTTAAGGTTTTTTTTCTAGGAGCTATAGATGCCCGAAACATTGTTGCAGGACCCTGTATCACCCCTGTATGTCTGTCTATTGAACTTACTTCCGCTGTACGATAGGAGCGCCATCCACGGGAATTCATTTAAAAATGCATTTTCTCCGTTGATAATTCGATTATCGGTATCGATATAACCGCAATCTGTAGGCAGCAGATTCTTGTTTCTATGGTTACTGACATCCAGGGGATTAGTTCCTTCTAGGTCAATGGATTCTGACGGACAACAAACCTAAACAATACAATCATTATTAATTTATTCAGTTAATTATTAATTCAAAATATTATATGTTCAATATATCTTAATATGTAACTATATATATATATATATATATATATATATATATATATATATATATATATATATATATCTTAAGTAATAACTTCTCAAGCAAGTAGTGTGAACTACAATAAAACTATTATTTTTTATATTTAATTTAATTTTTTACAAATTCACTAAACTTTCTTAGAATAAGAAAGTATAAATATTTAAATATTTCTCTGCTTTCTTATTGAAGGAAAAATATATCTGGGTAGTAACGGCTACTTTCTGCCTTGATGTGACGTCAAATTAAAATTGATGTTGTCTTCGGAGTGAAAATTACATTACATATGTCTTTTAATTAATAAAGAGTTTATGGTTTGCCAAAAATAGATAGTAGCCTTATAGTAGTAAGGTAGTAATAGTGTAACATTAAAAGTATACATTTCATCTAGTATATCTATCTGATTAACCATACTATAACGTGGTATAATCTTAGATTAACAATAAAAAGGTATACTGATGCTTCCAAAACCAAAGCAGGGACAGTGATAGGAGTATTTGGACCGAAAACTAAATACTTTTTTTTGTTTCGTTTCTTTGACCTGGTATACTATATATTTTTTTCTTTTTATTCTTGGCTTTAGGTCGTTGGGGTTGCAAAGATGTTACTAGATTTTGTTCATTATTTTATTTTTATGACGAAGTTTCGACAGTATATACCTTTTTCAAGTCTCTTGAGCGTAGATTCTTACAGAATTAAAATTGTTAAAAACTAGACAAAAGCACAATAACACATTAAAACTATTATTTTAATTGTTTAGGGACATCACATTTTAGTATAGAGTAGGTACGTATTTTCTAGCAGACCATTTTGTATAAAACATATTTACCGTTTCATTAGCTGATTGTCTACTGTTTGAAACAGTAGACGTAGGTAGTTTACTGTTGATAAAATAATGAACAAAATTTAGTAACATCTTTGCAACCCCAACGACCTAAAGCCAAGAATAAAATAAAAAAAAAAAAAATACTTCGAACCAATGGGCATCTACCCCAGCATCCTTCAGACAAAAATCTACGCTATCGTAAGATGCGTACATTTATCTTAGATAAGAACTATCGAAAACAGGAAATAGCCATCTTATCCGATTGTCAAGCCATCAACTAAGTAACCATCAATTTCAAGTTGGTCAAAGAATGCCTAGAGAAGCTGTATAAATTAGGAAAAGAAAATAAAGTTCTCCTACTTTCTCGGTGCCCGCTCACCAAGGGATACAAGGCAATGAACAAGCAAATGATCTACCTAGAAAAGGAGCGGACACTCAATTAACTGGACCAGAACCGTTCTGCTTTCCAAGCGGAAATCAACTTAAAGTGGAACTAAAGAACCTGGGGGACTCCATCCGTAACCTGAAATGGAAATCCTCCAACGGTCTAAGACACTCCAAAAAGTTCCTCAGAACTTACGACTGAGAAAAATCAAAGATTTTCGTTAATTTAAGTAAGAACAATCTTCGGATTGTCGCGAGGTTTCTAACAGGACACTGTCTCTTCAACGAACACCTCGGTAGATTTAAGCTGAGAAACAACGGCGAATGCAGATTCTCTGGAGAAAATGGGAAACACCAAAACACACTATCACTGAGTGCGCCGAGACGACAACCATTCGTGCCATAAACTTTGGTACGGCTGTAGATCCGGTTCTGTAGATCCGTCTCAGATACTGGATTTTGTCCAAGCCCTGAGACTATATGATGAGTTATAACCCATTATAACTCAAGAAAGGGGAACACACAACAGATCTGTAAGGTCGCGTTGATTAGCCCCCCTCCTAAACGTTCTACATCTGATTGAGCTTGTATAAATTAAGCTTCTTTACAGTCGAATTCTTTTGTTTCTTTTATGATCACGGTCTATTAATAAAGCTGATCTTCTAATGGAAACTTAAATTTTGGAGGAAAGTGAAAATATAAATAATAAATATAGAGAGTGTTTGGTTTGGTTTCTTTTGGTCTTTAAGAAGGATGTATTTCCTTGTAAGAAACCAAATACCTATGAGGAAACCAGAACATATGACTTATAAATATACAGGGTGTTCTATTTGAGAAAACATAAGTTTAGTTCATATCTCCAAAAATATTTTTATATATACAACTAAGAGGGCTAGGACAAATCTGAGTGCAGCATATTTAGTTTCATAAAAATTAGCACAGTGTTTCACATCACTGTGCTACTTTTGTACTACAAACAAAACATATAAGAACATGTATGACACTAAGGATGCTATACTAAACCACATCTTTGTATCTCATAAACGAGAAACCTCGTAAAAAAAGGAAAATGGGACACCCTGTACATAAAAAATAAAAAATCGAATATAAAAGCTTTTGTCTTGTTTTTGAAAAATGTGGAGATTAATAAACAACATGTGTATTAAATAAATTCTTCTGTTTCACAGAACTGTAAACATACACAATTAAAATAGTAAAGCATTCTATTGCTACGTTTTAGCTGTTGGGATTCCGACAGGTGAATCAACGCTGAGAACTGGTTTAATTTTATAACAATAGAAAATTAATAAAACAATTTAGCAATGATATAAGGTCATGGCGGTAATCGGGGAAAATCAGACGTATTTTCCAGAGTCTGAAGCATTTTTTAGTGGATTACTGGATTATACTAAATAACTGATAATCACTATGTTTTCGTTCAGTGAGGTATAAGCTCACACAAACACGTATAGTACATGTATAGATAAACCTTATTGTTGAAAACGAAGGCAGACCTCACCTCACCTCACCTACCCAATATAGACAAACCAGATGTATAGTATTTCCGAAGACAATTGGATGTAGTGAGACTCTTAATTCCCTTGTCCTGTCGATACCGATAAAGACAGTGCCGAAATTAAGAGTCCCAGTCTATTCCAACTGACTTCAGATAAACTATACACAGAGCTGAAATTAAAACTATTATACTCAGAAATCTACAGTCCCTTGAAACTGTGAAAAAATCAAACTTCTAAGTTAACCCCAATAAAAAAGATACCGCCGTTTATGCCGCAATTATATTTCGACACTTTCAAGGGAATCAAAATTTATAGGGTATTTTCAGTTAACCCAGAACTTTAAAATTAAAATTAAAGTTAACAATCCATACCGTTTTATATTACAAGTATAGGGAAAACTATACATTTGTAATTAAACCATAGAAAATATGGTCTTGTCCGTTTCTTTAACTTGTCCGGTTTTTGAAGTGAAAGTTCTTTACGCGCAATGGGAGTAAAAATTGAAGATCGTGACAGACGAGACGCGAGACGCGACAGGAAAAGCGGTAACGATCGGATCTTACGACGGAGCGTCGTAACTTAGGCCCTATGTGAGCTATGGGACTGAAACTTGGAATGTAGATGGTGCTCGAAGAGCCCCACCTTTTCATGTTATTTTGATCATTTATCATTATCAATGAATCAAATCAAAAATTCGTCCGATTTAAATGAGATTTGTTATATCTATAGATTGGACCAAGACCAACTTGACCGTGTACGACACGTGTCACTGTGGCAGTTAGTTTTGACGTAAGAAACGTTAAAAGTTGATTTTTGGTGGGTATAGGCAATGTGAGCGACGATGCAATAAATAACGGTCCCACCCTGCAAAGTTGGATACGATGCTGACGTTTCGTTTACACATTCATTAAGGTGGGACTAACGATTTGATACTGAAGAAAAATGTGGGTCGATTTCGGCATAATTGGGGACGGGTTACAGGATGACGCCCTCGACGTTTCGAACCGATGCCTCTAAATGGACGAAATCATCAGGAATTTTCTTAACTATGGATTGATTAGAACCAAACTAGGCACGTGGATAGAGGTACCCGAATGGAGTTCTCAGACCGACAGACGGAGACAGACGTTTCACTTCAAATATGCGCACATAGTGCATTTTGTAGATGCTATATTTTTTGATATCATGTCATTTAACTTCTTTTTATGTAATTCTTAAATGCCTTTCGCTTAAATAGAGATATTTATTTATATGACACTCCTTTTCTGTTAATATAATACTAGTTTCAGTATTATATTAATACTGAAAAGACCAACGATTCCATGATATCTTGAAAAAAAGATTATAATATAGTTCATAGTCCATGATCAAAACAAACTCTAAATAATCCAACGGTTTGTGTACGTTTTGTTTGTATATGTTTGGTCAAAACAAACATATTATGTATCTGTATATGTTTGGTCAAAACAAACATATTATATATATGTATATTCTATACTTATCTATGGTATCGATATTTTTGACAAAATAGACATTCTTATTACTATTAGTATACCTTAACTTTCCTTCTGGAATCGACGCCGCAATTGTAGGCTTGCAATTTTTGCGCGACTTCAGTAGAAACCGGTCTTTTGATCGTTCTGAGAACTCGCAGAATTGGCTCACAGTTGGTGAGAGCAATGCAATTCCCAGTCTTCCTATCCGGCGTAGTGCAGCCTTCATCATCGATGACCCAGTCTAAACAAAAACATATATTAAATCAACAAATAATAATCAATCAATAAATCATTCCAGCCTTTCAACACCTTTTCTGTGTATTTTTGTGTCACGAAACACGAAATTACATTTTTTAAGTTAAACCGAAAAATATAACTGAGAATGAATTATTTCCCACTTGTGTTTTTCATATTTTTAAATTCGTTTTTTTTTAATTTAATGCCTAACATTCATAAATCATATTATTAACAATCTTTTCATTGTTTCTAATTCAAATTCATGTTGACCTTTTGACTATTTTCATCATAAACATTATTGGAAATATTTAAATTTGGTTATTGCAAAGTGAAAGTATGTTTTTGATAACATTCACAAGAAATATATCTTGTAAAATGAAAATAATTATTAAGAGAACTATACAGCTAATTCTGAATATTTATTATTGAAATTATATTTGTTATGTGTTGTTAGTTTTTGGGATCTTATAAAATTAAAGGCAATTTTTAGATTATCTTTAATTACGTTTCTTATTATATTGTTCATTTTATATTTTATATTAACTTTTAGGAGAGGTATAAAATTCACTTTTAATATACACTATACACTCACCGGTACGAAAAACGGGCACCTTAAAATTTTCATGTATTTTAAAGTTTTATATATGTATAGTGTTCTAGTGGACCGATTTTGATGATTTTTAATGCAATTTGTAGCTAAATTATTTGACTTTTTAGTCTCTTTCTAAAAATAAATAAAAAAATAAAAATAAAGCTGTTGTTGAGATGAATCAAAAAAGAAACTATCGAGAATAGACGAGCCTAGATGCTAGATGATAAACTGATTTTTAAATTCCTTGATTTGTTAACATATTCCACAGGGTGTTTCAAACTTTCACCAAAATATTAACATGTTTTCCCTCGTATAATTGACAGATGAAAACTTTCATTTTTAATTTAGAAAGAGTTACTGAAAAGTCAAATAATTTAGCTACAAATTGCTTAAAAAATCGTCAAAATCATAGAACCAGAACCAAATCCAGAACAAAATATATTAAACTTTAAAATATGTACAGGGTGGTCGAAATTGGTCTGTTTTAACAGAGAATACCTATTTCCTGACTAGATAAAGCAAAACCGACATAGACGTCATGTGCTCGATTCCTGAGATACGTTTAATGGCGTAAGCCGAGAGATTTTTGAATTTTTTACCATTTTGAAAATTGCCTATAACTTTTTTATTTCGCGAAATAATAAAATTCTCTAAAACATTCTTTTTCAGTGCAATCCAGTGGCGTAGTCAGTTTTTTTCTATGTTTGCTATTTTTGTCAGAAATAATAAAAAATATATTTTTTTAAATGGAAATCATAGTTGGCTATGAACTTAAAAAAATGCTGCCATTTAACCCTTTCCAACAATATAAAGTTATGGGTATCTATTTTTAAGAATCAGAGAAATATTATTTTTTTTTATCTTTATATCGAAGCGGGCTTTGATTTTGTGTTAACCTATTTGCCTAATTATTTTTATCACAATTTAATATTCTATATGATTATTGATCTGCATAATTAAAGACTTTTGAAAAGGTAAATTAACATTCTATTATTAGTAGTAATGGTACGTATTTTTTGAGTGACAAATATAGTTTTCTAAAAAAAATAAAGATGATGATAAAGCACCTCCTTGTTGAATACACAATAAACATCTTTTGCGCACAGAGTTACAACGATTTATTAGGCGAACTGGTGTAATAAGTCCAAAAGCTTGCCTAGTAGCCTTCTGCAATTATTCTTTTCTCGTCCCAATGGTTCTTCCGTTATATATAAGATCTTTTAATTTCCCCCCTAAAAAAGTCGAAAGGAGTTAAATCGCAGGACTTAGCAGGCTAAGATATGGGCACCTTGTTCCAACCCAATTCTCTATAAATTCTCCATTTAATAGTTCAGTTGTAACCCTGGAGTTTTAATTGTAATTAGTAATACTAATATAGAATGTTGATTTACCTTTTCAAAAGTTTTTAATTATGCAGATAAATAATATAGAATATTAAATTGTGATAGAAAATAATTAGGCAATAGGTACACAAAACTAAGGCCCGCTTCGATACAAAGATTAAAAACCAAATAGTTCTCTCATTCTTCGAAATAAATGCACATAACTTGATATCGTTGGAAAGGGTTAAACGCCAGCATTTTTTTAAGGTCATAGCCAACTATGATTTTCATTTAAAAAATTATATTTTTTATGATTTTTGACAAGAAAGCAAGTATAGAAAAAAACTGAATACGCCACTGGATCGTGCTTAAAAAAGTGCCTTAAGAACGTTTTCACAGAATTTTATTATTCCGCGAAATACAAAAGTTATGGGCAATTTTCCAAATGTTAAAAAACTCAAAAAAACCGTATCTCAGTTGGCAGTGAAAATATCAACAGGGGGTTTACGCCATTAAACGTGTCTCAGAAATCGAGCCCATGACATCTATGTCGGTTTTGCTCTATCTAGTTTTCTCTTTTAAAACAGACCAATTTCGACCACCCTGTACATCAAAATTTTAAGGTGCCTGTTTTCCGTACCGGTGAGTGTACTTATTTTTTATAGATAATTTAAACCTTCATATTTTTTACAGATTTTTTTGTAATATTATTAGAAGTATTATATAGGGTGAATCCCAAATAAATGTATATATTTTAGGGGTGGTATTTTCCAACACCAAATAACGCGTCAATTATTTTTTTCGTTAAAAAATATGAAATATTTTATTTTTCAATTTTTTTTAAATTTTCAATATAGGTTGAAGAAAAACAGAAAAAAATCAGTGATGGTTCTCAAAATTTGAGCAAAAACTCTTTATTTTTTAAAATTTAAAAAGTAAAACAATTTTTGTTTTGGGCTCAGGGGCGGATACAGGAATTTATTTTAGGGGGGGCCCAAATGAAAAGTAATGTAGAATATGCTTTTCACGGCGCCATTTTTAACCCAAAAGCCTAATATTTAACCCAATTTAGAGACGTTAGGGGGGAGGGCCGGGTCCCATGCCCCCCCCCTCTGTATCCGCCACTATTTGGGCTTATTTGAAAAACGACGAAGAGAAAATATACTCGAGATCTATCAGCCTTGAAAAAAATTATACTTATTTAAGACTCGCCCTGTATAATTATGTTCCTAATCCTCCAAAGTCAATGAATTAATATTTAAAATATAATTAAAAAATTGCATGTTTGTGTAAAATCAGAAATATTTTAAACTAACCTTGCCTTTTTAATGACTTTAAAAAGAAATATAGAAATCTATTAAGATCACTAGTAATACGTTTAAAAAAACAAGATTGTCATCGAGACGAAATATTTGTTTTTTGTTTGAAAATTAATATGACTTAATTAATAAAATGAAGTAAATAATATATTTTATTTAATTCAATAATTATTGGATAAAATGTTTTAAATATAAACTTACTTGAATAACTCTGGTTGACAAACAAAACTAAACAAAACAGAGCGATCGCGTACGAAAACTGAAACATGATTACCCTGAGGTACTGTCTGGTACTCTTCACTAACCGACTTGGACTGGCGCAGTGTATCGCAGATCGAAGTATTTTCCGTATATTAATACGATTGACCTATAGCACGTAGCTACAGAAAAACCAAAAATAATTGAACAGCTGTCGAAGATTCATAAAACAGGTTCATATCTACCAGACAAGAACAACTATATTCCGTTGTTTAAACGAGAGAGAAAGAACTAACACTGTATGTTATAGAAGTATATTTGATTATATTCTTTTATTATTTAACGTTATATTTTATAAATAAATTTATTTATAAATGTGATAGTAGCGATGTCTGATAGTGGATTTGTTCTCGGAAAATCCAATGTTTTTCGCGGCCAGAGATATGTAAATACAATTAAAAAAGCAATGCTTTCTCATCAAAGTCTTGAACAATACAAAGTACGTTCAAGGAAAGTACTTTTATTTTTAACCCTGTATATAAAACACGTAATCAAGTTAAATCTCTGAATTATACTTGCGTGATTTTTAACTAATACATTTGTGTTTTTTAATACCTTTCGAATTGACGTTTATTTCTATTTTTAATATTGTGTGGTATTTTAAATTGCATTATTTTTATTTTACCTGATATTATGACGTTTGTACAGGTAATATTTACGTACATGCAAAGAAGGTTTTCTTACTAGAAATATTTAACACTGACACACACTGACTTGTATAATTGTTTTATTCTGGGAGGATTTATTATTATTATATCTTTCCAAGTAATAGCGTGTAAGAAAAAGAAAATATTTACAGAAAAGTTAACAGAATTAACTAATAAAATGAACAAGAAATATACAAAAGTGAAGGATTAAAATACAGGGTGGCGCACCTCATTCGCCTCGGTTGATTATACCCTTATTATACGAAAACAAAAAGGTGTAGAAACAAAATATTCTATGGGTATATGTGGAGAGGCAATGTGGCACAATCTAAAATTATTTTGAAATATACAGGGTGTTTCAGAACTAAGATCCATACCAAAGTTATATTTTTTCTTATGGAACACCCGGTATTTTATTTCATTTTTGGATTCTTGAGCCCAAAAAAAGGCATTTATTATAAGGGTTAAATATGTCTAAAATCTTTAGTTTTTGAGATATTTAAAGGTATTTAAATTTGCATGCTGCAATAGAATAGATTATTAACACCCTGTACGTTACTTTTCAGTATTAATTCTTGTGCTGAGCTTAAAGGTAAAAAAAATAAACTTTACAGAAAAATGTTATTGCTTCCTTAAATTTATACAGGGGTATCAAAAATTGCTGGTCTATTTTAAATATATATTTTACATAAAAACTTCGTTATTTCAAATACAATACCCTGTATTTTTTTAAATAAATCGAAGCAGATTCAAATGCTCTTTCAAACTATATTAGGGTTTCCTATACCTATCTAGTTCAGATTTTGAATAAAGACCAATTTTTCAAAAAAATGGCAACCAAAAGGGCTAGTGTCGTCATGGCATGTTTCTAGTGATAGCTAGTAGCTATTTTCAAAATCCAAATTAGTTTATGGACTTATTTAAATTTATACCAGTTTATGTTTATTTAATTTACCTACAAGAGTTTAATAAAAAATATTTATTAAATATGTATTCATTATTCTATCAAGAAAAACGAAGAAGTAATTCTTTGATTTATTTTACGATGAGTTGTAGATATATGGATTTTCTATAAAAGAGCCAATTACGGCAAATTCATTTTCTTCACTTCTAATGACAGGTTTCTGCCAAATAGGTTTTTTATAAACCACAACCACACTACCAGCTCTGCCAAATAGGACAAATATATAGTTTTTCAAGAGAACGCTTATCAGGAAGATTCCTATTTTGATATCTTTAAGCATAAGCCCTTGAGGCCAAGAAGCAATTAATTTTCCTCACAAAATAAAATCACTAGTAACCAAAGCTAGTAACATATCCATTCGTTCCGCCAACAGATACTGCTTTATTTTTCTTGATAAAATAATGAATACTTACTTATTAAACTATTGTAGTTAAATTTAAGTAAACTGTTATAAATTATATATATTAATGTCCATAAACTAGTGTTGACTTTGAAAATAGTTACTAACTGTCACTAGAAAATTGCCATGGCGACACCAGCAATCTTGATTGAAATTTTATTTAAAAATCGCTTTTTATTCAAAATCTGAGCTAGATAGGAATGGGAAACCCTAATATAGTTTGGAAGAGCATTTAAATCTGCTTCGACTTATTTAAAAAAATACAGGATGTCGCATTTAAAATAACGGAGTGTTTATATAAAATATATCCTTAAAATAGATCAGCAACTTTTGATAGCCCTGTATAAATTTAAGCAAGCAATACCATTTTCCAGTAAAGTTTATTTCTCTACCTTTAAACTCAGCATAAGAATTAATTCTGAAACGTAATGTACAGGGTGTTAATAATCTATTCTATTGTAGCATGCAAATTTAAATATCTTTAAATATCTCAAAAACCAAAGATTTTAAACAAACAACCCTTATAATAAAAGCCTTTTTTTGGGCCCAAGAATCCAAAAATGAAATAAAATACCGGGTGTTCCATAAGAAAAAATATAACTTTGGTATGGATCTTAGTTCTGAAACACCCTGTATATTTCAAAATAATTTTAAATTGTGCACATGGTCTCCCCACATATACCCATAAAATATTTTGTTTCTACATCTTTCCGTTTTCGCATAATCAACCAAGGCGAATGAGGTGCGCCACCCTGTTTACTACTAAACTACTAAAACGACTAAAATATACATCCTGAATAATGTAAGACCTACAAGAGACTTGAAACTGAAAGAGAACTTGTTGAAAGAAAAAAAAAATAATTTAATTAATTTTTAAAACTTTTAAAATTTCATATTTTTCTAGACATTTTCTGGAAAATTTAGAAAGTTTTTAATGCCGAAGCTATAAAACTTACCTATTGTATTTGTCCTCTTTCTATGTCTGCACCAAGTATGTCTGCACCTGCACCACTCCTATCCCAGTACTCCGCTCCGGTTTTTGCAGGTCCTTAATAGGAGTGAAACTGAACTGAATATAGTTCTTCCGGTTCTAGTAAACTCTATATGACCCAGAGAAGCTACAATTAAAATACCATTGTGTCATTGTCAAGTTCGATGTCACATTTTGTTTACAAAAATTTGAAGGTACCAAATAGATTAATTTTTGTAAAAAATAATTAGGAATTTCCCAACTTCTGAAAAAGTTATGATGGTTAGAGGGCATTTTGCTGGAAATAGTATTCTCGCTGTGTTAGATATGTTCGCAGCTCAGTCTCCGGAAAGCCTATACCGAATAAGTCAAGAGTTTAAACTTTAAAGAATAAACGAGAGGTTTGAAACTATTTTGAAACTAAAGGCACTTTACTTTTTTTGTACTTTTTTTATTTATTTATTTACGGAAAACCCCATTACATTACAAAATTTACAAAACAATATTAAAAAAAAGAAAAAAAAATGTCTTTTCTTTTTCTTTCACATCGTATAAACATACTTAAAAATATTAAAAAATAATACAAAAAAAAACAACAATAAATACTTATAAGAGAAGAAAGGTACAGTAAAAAGAAGAATTAACACACCTATCAATCACCACCCCCATTTCTAATCTTCCTCCTAAATGCCCAGTAAGAGTCATTAAAAATGTCAACATCATGAAAGCTGTTCAGAGAATTAAGTGCCCTTGGAATTGGAGAATGCTTTCCATAATTAGTACCGTGCAAAGGAATAAAGAACAAATCATTAATTCTCAATGGCCTAAATGGAACTTTGAAATAAATTTGTCTAAGTATCTCAGGGCAGTCATATACGCCATTAACAACCTTATAAAAAAAAGAAAGATCATAGATTAATCTCCTTTTGTCCAGAGTCTCTAAATTTAATTGGTCTAAGTTGATAACCCAAGCAGCATTTGGACGTCGGGACAACGTTGTGTCACGCGACCAAACGTCGGGGCGCAACGTCGGCACAACCTCGTGCCAACCCTAGTCTGCACTAGTTTGGAGAATAATTTTTGGGTCGAAACGACGTTGGATACCGACGTTGGCTAGAAGCCTAATTTAGTACAAACTGCAACGTTGTTTAAAATCCTAATTCACAGAAATACAAAACTAATATGGCGTCTAAGTCGCGTTTTATCCTAAATTGGGATAATTATAGTAAAAATATTACTTTTATGATTTAGTTAGAGACATATGTCAAATGGCAGTGAAGGAAAACAAAACAAAAGTATTTAAGTGTGGAGGATGTTTGAAGATCATAATTATTGAAACACTTTAACCGACTCTGTAACTCGTTACCCAAGGCAAAAAAGTTAAACGCAAACAACTTTATTGATAAATGTATTGTTTCTACTTTGAAAAATACTAATGGGCCTTAAAATTAAAGAAGTTTTAAAAATTTTCTTGATTTTTTTTTTTAGTAAAATGTGAATAATTTATTCGCAGTCGAAAAAATTGTTTCCGCGTGTTTTTTAGGGTCAAATATTTCAAGTTAACGTATTCAAAAAGCAGGAATTGCTATTTTAGGAACGAAACATTTTCTTATTTAACAACATGGCGGCTTTAACTTTGTTGTTTTGGAGATTAAGATGGAGTAGTTCGAGTAGTCGCATACTGGACTAATAAAGTCGCAGTTCGGCCTTAACAAGTAGTATACTAGTCGCAAGATTGCCTAATTTAGTCATCCTAGAGTCTAGCTTGTGCCGCCCTCTATAATCTAAATTAACGAGGGAGTGGATAAACTATCGGTAATATATGTCGATGTATATTTAAATTTAGTTTTATATGTACCTTTCTTATGTCCCATTTTAATTAAGTTTTTTTTATAAAAATAAAAACAGCACTGAACTATCTGACTGAACAGAACAATGAAGTGAAAATTTAAGATTTAAGGTTATGGTTCAATACAGTTGCAAAAAGGTAGTGACTCGACGTCCTACCAACGTAAGAGTAAGGAAATCTAAACAACGTTGGAATTAGTAAAACAGACGACGTTTGCATAACGTTGGAATAGGTCCTGAAACTGACGTCGGAAAACTCTA